GTTGGTAGTGACCACAGAGCGGGTTACATCGTTGGTAGTGACCACAGAGCGGGTTACATCGTTGGTAGTAACCACAAGTTAAGCACTTCAAAACCACCAGCTGCTCCATAAGAGAAAGATGAAGCTTTCTACCCCCTTGAAGATTTAACAGCCTTGGAAGCTCATACAGGTAGTTCTGCTCTGTCCTGTAGAGTCTTCATGAATCAGAATGTTTCAAACCCTACAAGCCATTCTGATGGACAGTAAACATTGACAACCACTGTTGTAATATAGACAGAATCAGAATTCTTCCCATTTACACATTTGGAAATTGAGGTGTTTAAGAGGTTTTGTGACTTAATAAACCTGGGACTGGAACCAGATGTATTTACGGTTCCTTCTATGTACCACTTTTGAAATTAGGAAGTTAAGTGGCTTTAATTCATATTAACTAAAGTATTTTCCACCTTACCATTATGTAATATGCATAGATTTCTCTGTGGTTACAGGACTATTTTCATGTAAGATTGTCAAGTGTAGAAGAATGAGTAGCCATCATTTATTCAGTTGTAACAACATTTTCTCAAGCCTTATATACACAGAGTAAGTTGTAGATAATCCAGTAATGAGTGAAATATCATTTTTACTTTCAACCTCTTGAGGGCAAGAGCCCTAAGAGAGATTTCTGAATGACTATGAACAGATTTCAGCAGCACTTCTAGACCAGCGGATCTCAACCTGTGGGTCCTGACCCCTTTGGGGGTTGAACAACCCTTTCACAGGGTTGCCTAAGACCATATTTCCGATGGCCTTAGGAACCGAGACACCACTCCTCTATCTGTCTCCAGGCGGTCTGCCCACATGCAGGTACGCCCACCTGCGAGTACCTGGCATGAAGACTGTTACCCATGCTACACCATGCTTCAAGACAAAATTTACTTCATTGTAATTAGAGATAAATATTTCACAATTTATAATTACATATTGTTTTTGTGATTAATCACTGTTTTAATTATGTTCAATTTGTGACTATGAAAATACATCCTGTATATCAGATATTTACATTATAATTCATAACTAGCAAAGTTACAGTTAGGAAGTAGCAACGAAAATAATGTTATGGTTGGGGGTCACCACCACATGAGGAACTGTATGAAAGTGTCGCAGCATGAGGAAGGTTGAGAATCACTGCTCTAGATGAAGACATATTAGGAAAATGCCTGGCAATCTACTTCTAACAAAATCTGCCACTGGACACCCTAATGTATCACAATATAGTGTATCTCATTGTGTGCGGGAGCAGTATGAGTAAGGCTGACCAGGCAGCTAACAACAATTCCATAAGGTGGTCATATTACATGTTACGGAATCTAGGGAAAGCTTTGTGAAAGGGACGGCTTTTCATATGCATAGATAAGAGTTTTAACAGGTGACTATGGATAGGAGAGGATTTATCAAGGAAATGGAACAAACAAAAGTATATTGGAAAGAAAAAACTGGGTTGGTTCAGAATCTTTGGGTATATCCAAAGCCAGGCCTCACAGATTGCACAGTCTATTCCAGTTCATGGCAATGTCATGTGTCGTAGTGCAAGTACAAACCATAGGGTTTTCGGCTGCTGTTTGCTTGGAGTAGATTCCCGGGTCTGTCTTTCAGGACTCCCGGGGGTGTGCTTCAGTCATCAGCCTTCACTGGCATGAGGGCATTGTCCTGCGGGCAGATAGGATTTTTAGTCGAATAACTTTTTAATGCCTTATGGCTTTATTGGTACTTCCATACATGAATGTGGTTATTTGCTCTGTGTTGTTTAATTTTAAAAGCTCTTTGGGATTTTGGATGTACTCTTCAGTCTCCTGCGTACCAGCCCAACCAGAGGTCAGCTTTTCTTACTGCTCTTTGAACCAGGAAATGCTGATATACTTTATGCCTTGCTCTTAAATCAGAAGTACTCTGACAGACTAAGAGAAATCATTTTCAAGGTAAAAACATTTCCTAAGAATCTTAATTAAAAGTATTTATAGACATGAATGTACTTTCAACATACTTGTATGGCTATACATTATTTTCATATTGATGTCTAATTTTAAGTTTAATTCATGATTTTTTTTCATGTTTTAGTATCTTAGATAAGTATCGTTTGAGTGTTTGTATATTTACACAAAAACTAGTTATATTGCAATCTGGTAATTCATCAGCAAGGAAATCCTGCTTTGTCATACTGTCCTCAAGTAAAACTCTCTTACCACCTTTTTGACTTAAGCTGGGTCTGCATGGAAATTTAGCAGTTTAATAGGACAAGAAGTAACACTTGCATAGCATTCTTTATATGTCAGGCACTAAGCAATTTTCATTTAATTGGCTTATTTAGTCCTTGAAACAACTTTATGAAGTCAGTACTATAATTATCTTCGTTTTACATATGTAGAAATTAAGGCCAGAAAGATTAGTAACCTCTTCAAAGATATAGAATCTATTTATGAAGTTATCTCAAATAGTCACTTTGATGTTCGACTGAAATCACCTCAGTTCCTGTTAACTAAATTAGATGAGTCATATTTCTATAGCCAAAAGCATTGATTTTTTTTTCATAATTAATTTTGCTGTTCACTATGCTTAATTATCTTGTGACAGTTGTTTCCTCTTGCATCCGTAGAGTTGTATTATAGTGTCTGCTGATGGGGCTTAGTTTGTGTTGCCTGTTTGGTAAACATAAACTTCTCACAAACAAAGGAGCAGTGGCAGTGGCCTGGCATAGTCTTTCTCGAGTACCAACTGTGGTGACCTATGCTGCTCTGTAGAGCATCTGCCCAGTCCGAGCATCTTCTCTGGAAAGTTTTATTGCTCCAAAACAGCTTTGCAGGGATTACTCATGTTATTAGTCTGTCTAGATTGTTCTTTTAATGTAGGCTTTCAAGATCTCACATAAAAATATGTGGATCTCACCCCAAGAATTAATTCAGCCTCCAATTTTAGCAGTAGAGGTTTCTACACGAAATGTTTCTTTGTCTTTGGAAATTAGTTTGATAATTTTTACATTAATGTGTTGCTAGATTGGCTCAGAGTATCTTATAGACATACCTTTGTTATTCTTATAAGCTGTAAGTTTTGTTTCTAAGCATTAACTGTAAAGAAGTAAAATTTAAGATGATTTGTTTCATTTAAGAAATATTTGTGTAGGGAGACAGTGGATGGTGTAAGATAAGAAAATAATAATTTATAATTTACCAAGGAGTCACGAGGGTTGGAAGGTGGGGTGGGGAGGAGCTGATACCAAGGGCTCAAGTAGAAAAAAAACGTTTTGAAAATGATTGTGGCAACATATGTACAAATATTCTCGGTACAATTGATGTATGGATTGTTAAAAGAGCTGTAAGAGCCTCAATAAAATGATCTTTTACTTAAAAAAAAAAATACATCCCCTGCACCCCCTCAAAAAAGAGAGATTTATGAACTAGAATTTTAATTTAATGGCAACACTCATCCTTTTTTTTCCTCAAAAAGAAAGCAGAAAATATTAAAAACTGGAACAAGTGTACATTGGATCAAAAGGGAGTTCTAATAACATCACATTGCAACCAAATGTCAAGTACAGTGATCTACCTTACAATACACTCTGTCTGATAATAAGGCCCTTCCCATCCCTAGTCCATAGTCTGAGGGAATTCACCAGAGACTTAATTAATTCTTGGGGAACCCTGCAAATGGGTTTTGGGTGTTCGTTTTCATCCATATCTTTCTGCATACTGAGTGTTCGGAATTTAAGCTCTGATGGTCCCTCCTCTATATTTGGATTTTTATTAATTACCATCTTAGGATCACACAAGCTGGTGTGCTTCTTTCTTGTGGACTTAGCTGATGCCTTACTTAGTTAGCTGCTTGTTTTAAGACAAGCCTTTACGAACCCAGACACTATTCATTGATAGCCAGGCACTATCTGCTTTCTTCTCCCACTTTGCTATAGACTCATTTTTTTAATGACATGAGTGCTGCTGATTACTATTTAAAAAAAAAACTTTGAGAAATAAAATGATGCTTTAAAAACTTTGTAAAGTAGTATTTAATATTAACCTAAGTGATAAACTGTTTTTAGTTCTGTATATTGAGAATAATATATTATTTGTGGCCAGGTTATGGAACAAATGTTGAAATGCACGAATGTTTATGAAAGAAGCAAACAGCGTATTCGACTCAGAGAAATTGGCTACTCAGGATTGGGACTCCTTCTCAGTGAAGCACCCATTAACACCTCTCTCATTAAAAACCTTACCAATCAGATCATAAATACAGGTATGACTAAGATTGAAACTACTAGTACATCTAAGAGATGTTCTTGATAGCGGGGTAATTCTGTTTGATGGTTTTCTTTCTTTTTTTTCCCCATGGATGTTCCCACTACCACCTGCCACTGTTGCTCTAAATGTTACCTGCTGTGTGATTCAGCGGTGTTTTCCTTGGGTTGTTGTTGTGTTTGCCTCCTCAGCACATCGTACAATACCTAGTACTTGATAGGCCTTCACTAAAAGTTTAGATATCAAACATTCTAAACTTTTCTTTAAAATATAAACATATTTATGAAGACTTAATTTTCAAGTGAAATAGTTATTTCAGCATTTATACAACTATGTATGTCCCATAATTTTTTATTTGGTTATCTGTAGAATTTAATTTTTACTTTTTGATTTTTCCCATTGTAGATCCTGTCATTAATTTCAAAGATCTATTATCTGTGGCATATATCTCTCACAGAGCCTGTGTAAATGTCAGAATGGTCGTCTGCAGAAAGGTTGGTAATCTTTTAAGGTGTATATTTTAAAGGGCAGTAGTAATATACTGTGATGACTCTGGGGTGGTTTGTGTTCAATTGCTGCCAGTTTAAATTTTATTATTTTACAAAAGACATAACTGTTAAAAATAAGCAGTTTCTTTGGGGGTTTGTTATCTTTATGACAAATCAGTGTATGCATGTGTTGTTAAGCCCACACAATCTCCCGCAAACATGCCCTCTCCACAGTCAGAAATATATTAGTAGAGCATAGTTTCTTTATCCAGAACTTGGAGTGAATGTGACTATTTCAAATTTATATGCTGTATTTTAAGGTTGTTAGAGTTTTTGAACTTTGTTGAAAAAGTGTTCAGTGGTTTGTGACACATTCAATGTTAGCCTTTAATTTATCTATTTTACCCTTACTCAAATCAAGAAATATGCGGGCCTTCAAAAACATTAATGGAAAAATTATATTATCTTTCTTTTTTTCTCCAACAATTGTATGGGCATGTTAATCACACATTATACAATTTAATAGTTAAATCACATCTAAGAAATATGTGGTGATTGCACCATATCCCTTGATATGATTGAACGATTGAACTATTCAATTATATGTAAATTATGTGCCAATAAAACTGTTGGGGGAGGAGAGAAAGACTTGTACAGTCATCACCACAGCCAGGTTTAGAGTATTTCTTCAATCTTGTACTCATCATTGTTAGCTCCCCATTTCCCCTAATCTCCCCAGCCATACCCCCATGGAACATTAAAGTACTGCCTCTATAGATGGACCTCTCCAGCCATACCCCCATGGAACATTAAAGTACTGCCTCTATAGATACCTCCCCAGCCATACCCCCATGGAACATTAAAGTACTGCCTCTATAGATGGACCTCTCCAGGAAGTCATGTACAGAAAACATTAACAAAACAAACACCAATACTACCACCAACAAAAAACTAACAAGAATAACTAAGTAAAACACAACCTCAGTCAAAAGACAGCAGAAAATATTAAAAGCTAGAACAAATGTAAATGGGTCATAGTGATTGGAATGCTGTATTTTAACATAACTGCATCTTTAACAGCCCACTTTTTAATGTGTTCTATATGTTAACAAGGCTTTTCACACTCCTTGTTCTTTCAGAGGGGATTCCCCAGGGGCTTAATCCACTTGTATCCCCCTGGGCTCCTCTTTTTAAATTGAAACTGCTTTAAGATGAGTCTAAAGAGGACATCAAATGATAAAAATTTACATTTTGACCTAACTATATCTGCCACAATCGACTTTACAGTGCTCTGTCTGATAACAGGGCTATTCATGTCCCTCAACCATGATCTGTGGGAATTCACCAGAGGCTGAATCCGTGTGTGGACACTGCAGTTGGATTCGGGGCTTCCACTAGCATCCATAACCTTCTGCAAACCTAGTGTTCATAATCTAAAACCTGATGCCATTCGCTCCTTAGATTTGCATTATATTGTTTGCAATTCTTGGAATAACACAGACTGGTGTACTTCTATGTGGACTTGGTTGACACCTTGCTTAGATGACTGCTTGTTTTCAAACAAGAATTTAGACCCAGACACTATTGTTTCTCATAGTTGGACACCACCTACTTTCTTCACCACATTTTGTTATATCACCCATATCTTCAGTGATCTCTTCATCAAACAGGGCCATGTCATCAGGACTAATTATTTTTAGATTGAGGGTACCTTTAAGTGTAATTCTCAAATCCATTAATCCATCTGTGGTTTATATATTTCTCTGTTGCACCTTAGAGACAATGTTTTTATTTTATGTTAGGGGACATTATCAATCATCCCCTTAGGCCAAGGGTCCTCAAACTTTTTAAACGGGGCCAGTTCACAGTGTCCCTCAAACCCATTGGAGAGCCGGACTGTGGTTAAAAAACAAAAACAACTATGAATAAATTCCTATGCACACTGCACATATCTTATTTTGAAGTAAAAAACAAAATGGGGCAAAAACACCCGGCGGGCCGGATCAATGTCCTCGGTGGGCCACATGTGGCCCGCGGGCTGTAGTTTGAGGACGCCTGCCTTAGGCTATCACTTGCACTGTAGAACTGCCCCTGTGAGTTTCCAAGCACACTAATCTTCAGAGGAGTGAAAGCCTCATCTTCCCCGGCAGAGATGGCTGGTGATTTCAAACTGCTAATCTTGCAGTTAGCAGCCCAATGCATAACCACTACTCATTGATGATGTCATTAGTTTAGCCAGTAGCATAGAATTTAAAACACTGTTGAGAAAAGGAAACTGTATGAGCGTAGTCCAACTATGAACCACAGTACATGAATTGTTGACTTGTACAGATTAAATTCTTAAGTGACTGGACACTATTTACACAAACAACGGGGATTGATGATAGGGCAAATCTCCCAATAATATTCATTCATAGCAGAGCTATGCTTACCAGATTAATATTAAGTGTTTGATAATTTGGGGCCACCATTCATTGGGCACCCTCCCCACAAGAGGTCTAGCAGTTCTGTGTGCTTGGGCTAGTTTCAGCCTTCAGTCCTGTGGCTACAGGTGAGTTTGAAGTAATGCCCAGTTCACTCAGTGGGACTTCCACAAAATTCCATTATCTTTTCACATCATTTTTCTGTGTTTTTGGAGCTCCTGCATAGTTATCCAGCGTGCTCTTTCTGATCATAACTTCTCTCTTCTTTACTCTGTCTGCCATCAAGTTGATGTCGTCTCATAGAGACCCTATAGGACAGGTAGAACTTCCCCTTCTGAGTTGCTGACTGTTTAGAACAAGCTCCCTCTTCCTCCCAAGGAGTGGCTGGTGGCTTCGAACTGCTGAAGATCACAGTGGTTGCACATTGGGCTACTATCCTCATGGTTGGTAGTTTGAAACCACCAGCAGCTCCGCAGAACAACAACTGGGCTTTCTACTCCTGTAAACAGCCACAGTCTCGGAAACTCACAGGTGGGTCTCTATGAGTCAGCATTGACTTGAAGGCATTGAATTAGACTTTGGTTACTCTATATAGAGTACATGTGTACATTGTTTAAACACATTGTGTCTTTTTTTTTTACATCGTTTTATTGGGGGCTCTTAAAATTCTTATCACAATCCATACATACATACATTGTGTCAAGCACATTTGTACATTTGTTGCCATCATCATTCTAAAAATATTTGCTTTCTACTGGAGCCCTCTTTTTCCCCCTCCCTCCCCACTCCCCCTTCCGTCATGAACTCTTGATAATCATAAATTATTATTAGTTTGTCATATCATATTGTCTTCTAAATGGCCTCCAGGGAAAGTAAAGAACCTAATCATTTCAAAGTAAATCTCCCATAGTTTCTTATTGAGATACTTTCTCATTATCATAACTAAAAAGAGACTATTTTAAATGTAAAGTACGCTGTACATTTTGAAGAATTTCACTTTCTTTGTTTCTTGCAGATTTTACAAATTTTGCAGTCCCAGCCAGATGCAGCCTATCAGATATCACAGCAAGTGGGTTGGCAGGACACCTTAGTTAGGCTTTTATTAAAAGCCAATTTTGAAAATGGAAATATTCTTAATAAGCATAGTAGGATGAAAGACAATGACAAAAATATTGCAGCGGAAGATCTCAAGAGGAATTTTGATGAAAAGGCAGATGATGAAAAAATGAACTCTTTTGCATCTGCAAATGTGTCTTCTGACCGGTGGAGTTTGGAGGACAGACTCTCTTTAGACTCGAACACTCCAATATTTCAAGAAGATAGCTCCGTGGGAGAATTGTCTTTCAAGTCAGAGAATCAAGAAGACTTCTGGAATAGTAACCCTTCACACCTGAGTTTAGATCTCAGTGGAGTTGACGCATGTGAACTGAGTGATAGTGGCGGTCATGTGCCTGACAGCCTGCCTAGCACACCATCCCCAGTAGAATCGACGAAATCATTTGGTGGGCATTCTGATTCTAAAGAAAGTAGCAACGCCAATGATGCAGGCTTTAGTGATGACTTCTTACTTGAAAACCAAGAGGTAACATTCCTTTTCTTTCTATTTGCACTAAAAAAAAAGTCAATTACACACCTGTAATGTGACAATTATTAGCAGGTACTTTATGTGCTAAAAGCCTAGAAGTAACTAGATTGTTGGTGACTTTATCTTTTTTTTTTTTTTTTTTACAGAAATGTGAGGAGGAACTTGTTCATTTACTAACAAATATTTTGAATTATATAATGTGTAAGGGACTAGAAAAGTCTGATGATGATACTTGGATTGAAAGGGGACAAGTGTTTTCTGCTCTAACTAAACCAGGAATATCCAGTGAGTTACTTCGACCTCCAGATGAAATAAAATTAATGTAAGCTTTCAGTTGTAATTTTCTCCTTTTCTTTTGCAGTGGGTTGGAACCTAAAATAATAGTTGCTGAGGATTTATTTATTTATTCACTATCTTCTGTGAGTGTGGCAGGAGAAATCGTGGCATTACTCTAATTCCTCGTCTTTACCTTTCTAGTGGGAGCTAGTGATCCCTCCAAACTCAACTCCAATATGAGGGGGTTTAGATTTTCATTAATTTGAGTTTTAAGTGATAACGGACTCCTTGTTACTCAGATCACCTTCTGTGGTGTCTAAGGGCTTGATGCATTTTGTTCCACAGGCTTATCCTGGGTTTTCCATGCTAAGGGTAAGGAGTAGTGTTGTAATGAACTTCCTTCTCTAAACCATTGATGGCTCCCTGAAGGTGAAAGAACTGTCACAACAATTGCACACCAGGGAAGATTTACCTCTTTTTTCTTCCCCATGGCTAATTTCTCTGTAAGGCATAACATGGCTTTCCTCCCTTGATCTTTCTGACTTCCATCATTACAGATACTAAATATCTCATGGAAACAAAACTATGTTATTTTTATAGTCTTTTATTTATTTTTGTCATTTTATTGGGGTCTCTTACAGCTGTTAGAACAACAATCCATACATCGATTTTATCAGTCACATTTGTGCATATGTTGCCATCATTGTTTTCTTTCTTTTTTAAAATCATTTTATTGGGAGCTCTTATAACTTGTAACAATCCATACATCAATCGTGTCAAGTACATTTGTACATATGTTTGGGTTTTTTTTAATTTATTTTTTTCATCTGTACATATGTTGCCATCATCCTTTTCAAAACATTTTCTTTCTACTTGGGCCCTTGGTATCAGCTCATCTTTTTCCTACCTTCCCCACCCTCCCACTCTCATGAACCCTTAATAACTTTTACATTATTATTCTTTTAATAGCTTATTTCTTTTTAATAGCTGTCTTCCTTCACCCATGTGTCTGTTGTTCTTCACTGTGGGTGGCAGGGGGTTATACCTCAATCATTACAATCGGTTCCTCCTTTCGCCCTGCCACCTTCCCCTACCCTAATGGTATAGATACTTCCATTACTGTTCCTGAGAGCTTTATCTGTCCTGGATTCCATGTGTTGAGTGCTGTTATCTGTACCAGTGTACATGCTCTGGATTTGTGAGGTAGAGCTGGGGTCATGATAATTGTGGTGAGAACACATTATGGAACTAGAGCAGTGATTCTTAACCTGTAGGTCGTGACCCCTTTGGAGGTCAAATGACCTGTTCACAGAGGTCACACGATTCATAACAGTAGCAAAATTACAGTTATGAAGTAGCAAAGAAAATAATTTTATAGTTGGGGGCGGTCACCACAACATGAGGAGCTGTATGAAAGTGTTGCAGCATCCGGAAGGTTGAGAACCGCTGAACTAGAGGAATGTTGTTTGTTTCCTCGGTGCTACACTGCACCCTGGCTGGCTTGTCCCTTCCTTGTGACCCTTCTGTGAGGGGATGTCTAATTGTCTACAGATGGGCTTTGGGTCTTCTGATGCCTGATAACTGTTCCCATTGACACCTCGTGATCATGCAGGCTGGTGCGCACTTTCCATGTGGGCTTTGTTGCTTCTCAGCTAGATGGCCGCTTGTTTATTATCTTCAAGCCTTTAAAACCAACAGGTACAATATCTTTTGATAGGTGGGCACCATCAGCTTCTTCACCACATTTGCTTATGTACCCGCTTTGTCTTCAGTGATTGTGTACGAAAGCTGAGCATCACAGAATGCCAGGTTATTAGAACAAAGTGTTCTTGTGGTGAGGGAATACTGAGTAGAGGCCCAATGTGTACTTGCCTGTCATTTTTTTTATCATTTTATTGGTGGCTTGTATAGCACTTATCACAATCCATACATATATCCATTGTGTCAAGCACGTTTGTACATATGTTCACATCATCATTTTCAAAACATTTTCTTTCTACTTGAACCCTTGGTATCAGCTCATTTCCCCTCTCCCCCACCGCCCCTCCCTCATGAACTCAATAATTCATAAAATTTATTTTTTCCATGTTTTACACTAACCACTATCTCCCTTCACCCACCTTTCTGTTGTCCATCTGCCTATGAGCAGATTATATATAGATCATTGTCATCAGTTTCCCCTTTCTCCTACCCCTCCTGCTATCGCTACTCTCATTATTGGTCCTGAGGGGTTTATCTGTCTGCAATTCCCTGTGTTTCCAGCTCTGATCTGTACCACTGTACATGCTCTGGTCTAGCCGGATTTGTTAGGTAGAATTGGCGTCATGATAGTGAGGTACTTGCCTGTATTGATACCTCTATAAATGTCCTTTGCCTCCGAGTTCTTTTTTCTATTTCCTTTGACTTTCCTCTTGTCCCACTGTCATGTTTGACCTTCATTCGGCTTTCAGTAATTCCTCTTGGCTATATTGCACTTGATCAAACCCCACAAAAGAAAAAGGGCTATAAATAGTTCCAGGTCTGTTTGTTGACCTTTATGAATGCTTTCCGATTGAGTTTGAAGTACCAGTCCCTGCCCCAAAGTCTATATTGGGGTTCCTTGTGGACTTCATTGCTTTGCTCCCCTTGTGCTCTGTTGCACTCCCTTCCTGTTTTGCCCCTTTGTGGGGGGGTCAGCAATCATAATTTCTGCACTGTCTGCATTGTCCCTTTTCATGCTATGGTCCAGTCAGTGAGGGTATGCCAGGCTCATGGTGGGGCTGTCTGGAAGGTCCTCTCTGTTGTTGTTTGGCTGCTTGGAGCAGGAATATTGCCCTCGGGGTTTGGTGGATCAAGGTGCCGTCCCCCCCCCCCCCTCTTTCCCTCTTAGTGTGTTCTGAGCAGACAGCCCCTTTCTCCTAGGTGTATCTTCAGTGCTGTCCTCTGTAGTGCATTCTTCTGGGGAGGGGTTCCACGTAGCTTGGATTGGGGCCGGCCTTGCAGATCTCTCTGTTGGTTCGCTTCTTCATGCCAGTATGCTGCCTTCAAGTCTTGGTGCACCAGGTTGAGGCCTGGTCCCTCTCTCCCTTTCCTATGGAGACATAAACAATACCTAACCCATGGGTTGGTCAGTGCCCCGTTTCCCCCCATCTATGTCCTCTTTTTTTTTTTCTTTTACCCTCCTTTTTAGTTGGCTACCATATGTATCCCTGTGTTGACTATTTTCATAGTCTTTTTTTGTAGTCAAGTGAGGCACAACTTTTACTTTGACTTTGGTATTAAATATACTAAAGGTAGTTACTCCAAGTATTAAAAAGTTGCTCCATTGTTGTTAAATTCCATCCACACCTGCAGGAGACTCTATATCTTTGGGGATGCAGTTCTATTAATAAGTAACTTTGTTTTCCATGACCTCCTATTTTTCTAATTTTTTTCTGATTTAATGATGACTTTGTGCTGTACTTAGTTTGCTACAGAAAATGTTAGAATGGGCAGTCACAGAAAACAGAGAAGCAAAAGTGAATCCAGGAGTTGCTGAAAATGCCTTCAGACTCATGCTGATCACACAGGACTTTCTGCAGTCAGAGGGACTAATTAATTCAAACATATGGACTGAAAAGGTACAGTAATGCCCTTTTAAAGTAATAATTTGGGTTGCCAAAGATTTTCTTCAGAGAAATACAATTTTATAACATGAAGTAGGATAATTATTTTGGATTTTGCCAATTAAAAAAAATGTTTATGATTTCTATTAGTGTTGGGAGAAAATTATCACCCATAGATTTAAGAAGTAATGGTTTACTTTTTTATTTTTCCTTTGTGTTAGCTTCTAGAGGATATAATACTGCTCTTCGACTGTCTGTCAGTGTGGTATACTGAGAGTCCTGAGTGGGTAAAGCTCTCTCAAATTCAGATCCAGTTGCTTCTAGAATTCATTGGCAAGGGTAAATTGCAGGTTTGTCAGTTCTTTTACATTATTTTCTATACTTGCATACAGCACAGGTGTTATTCATGTGATTAATATAATGTTTTTCTAGAATTTTAATTTTTCCGTTAGTTTTTAAAGTATCAATGATTTCACTTTCTTTTTTGTGAGTTCAGCAAAGAAATTAAGAGGCAGCTAATTATTTCTTCTTGATGTTTATGACTTATTGTAATTTTAAGGTTTACCTAAAGCAGTGGTTCTCAACCTTCCTAATTCCATAACCCTTTAATAGTTTCTCATGTTGTGGTGGGGGTCACCAAATCATAAAATTATTTTCATTGCTACTTCATAACTATAATTTTGCTACTATTATCAATTGGCGACCCCTGTGAAAGGGTCGTTTGACCCCAAAGGGGTTACGACCTATACATCAAGAACTGCTGGCCTAAAGTTTTCACACTCATTCCTCACTGTTTCAATATGGAAGGTTCCTAAAAGACAAGGTCTTCCTTTGAAAATCGGCATTAGGTGAAAGTGGAGGTTTGCTGTGTCCTGTCTTGTAATGCAAGCACAGGATGTGCAGGCATCGTCTTGTCCAGGCCTTGAGGAGCCAGCGCAAATGCTGATCCTGTGAACACTGCTATTGCTGAAGACCTTTGACATCCAGAGTCTCTCTCCTTCTGCTGCTAGCATCCATGAAACTGTGACAGGCTAAGTTATTTACTTGTAGGTAAAATAAAATTGGAGATCTTCCACCGTTCTTGGCATTTATTATATAAAAGTTATGACGTGCACTTATAGGACCAACTTTGAATGAATCTCTGTGAAGGAGACAATGACCTGAGTTGACTGATCAGAGATGAGTTACCTGAACCAGTCACTGACAAAGTGTTGGATATTTGTTTAACATACGTTTTAAAGGCTATTGTTGGAGTTAGAGATAGTGCCTTTCCCTATCTTTGGCAAAATGTAAGGAGGAGTGGAATGTGTGTTTGGATGATAAATAGTCCACCACAACATTTTGTATATTCCAAATTAATAAATAAATGTTACATTTTTAGTTAAAAAAACACTTTTAAAGTAGCTAGACAGAATTTTACAGACAATAAATGTCTGCTCTGTTTACTTATGTATGTGTTTTCTCACCTAAATTACTTTTGCCTCCAGGTATGTGCTATGGCATCAGCAAAGCTAAACACACTCCTTCAGACCAAAGTGATTGAAAATCAGAATGAAGCATGCTATATTTTAGGAAAGCTGGAAAGTGTTCTAAGTCAGTCAATCAAGGAACAGACTGAAATCTACTCCTTTCTCATTCCGCTGGTTCGCACCCTGGTTTCCAAAATCTATGAACTGCTCTTCATGAACCTGCACCTGCCTTCTTTACCGCTTGCCAGTGGTAGCTCCTCATTTTTTGAAGATTTCCAAGAATATTGCAGTTCAAATGAGTGGCAAGTTTACATAGAAAAATATGTAAGTAAGATCTTTTTTGAACGTTTTTTTCCTACTGGATTGTCATTTTATAAATGTTGATGTTAAAATTTGTTTATTTTTAAATAAGATTGTGCCTTCCATGAAGCAGTATGAAATCCGTACGTTCTGTGATGGTCGTGGGAACATGGCAGTCTTTTGGAAAGATTGTTATGAAGCCTTAATGGTGAATATGCATAAACGAGATCGGGAAGGAGGAGAAAGCAAACTGAAATTCCAGGTAAAACTTGTTAAATATTTCAGCAGATGCAACTCTTCATGTTGATTATAAGTACTTAGTATTCAAATAAGATTAATATGATGCCTGAACTTTGCAAACCAATAGGATTATTTGTATCTGTCCAACAATTTTATCAAAATGAAAGGAGAAACAACTCACCAGTTATGGCTAAAACAAATTAATAGCAGAAACAGTCTACACAGAGTGATTGTGTAAGTAGTATGAAGCTGATGGTATGTTAGTAGATTTCTCTAGGGAGATTGGATGTATATCAGTGGTTAAAGGGAAATTTATAGCACTAATGGCTCCACCTAAAACTAGAAAAAAAATGCATTATAAACCCATAGCAACAGGAATTAACAAGGATTAAAAATAAAATTATAATTAGCAAAGAAGAGAAAAAATCAGTGAAACCAAAATCTAGGTGTTCAAAATATTTTTTACTGTTAGATTTCTAGCCAGCTTGCTAAAGTATAACCTGAGAAGTAAAAAAATTACCAATATCAACTGGGCGACATCTAACAATAACAATGAAACTGAAATAAAAGTGTAATAAAGAAAAAAATTACCAATTAAAAAAAAACAATGAAAGAGGTTATTACTGTTGCCTTCATATACATCAAAGTAATACTAAGATGGAACTATATGAGCAAATATTTGAATTTGTTCTGAAACAAATTTTGCAATAGACAACCTTAAGAGACCTATATCTATTAAATTTGTAGTTAAAACCTTCCGAAAAAGAATACTCCGGGCTCAGATCGTTTCACTGACAAATTCTTCCAGACATTTAATGAAGATATGGCACAAGATCCTCACAATCTTGTCAGTAAATATTACAGTGTTGTGAACACTTCCTAACTAAATTTATGACCTATTTTACATCATACCAAAGCCACACAAAGTCAGTACAAGAAAACTACAGACCTTAAAACAAAAACAAAAAAAAAGAAAAGAAAACTACAAACCAGGGACAGGTATGATTCAAATCACAATCTAAGAGGGCTTAAAAAAATGTGTAGAACAATTTAATTATCTTTTAATTCCATTTTTCCATGAATTTTTTGAGGCCCGCTTACATATTTTAAAAAAAAACAGTACATGACAATCATATCAAATTTCCCTGGCAATGTAAAGCTAGTCTCACATTAATAAATCAGTCAATATAACACATTGCGAGGGTTATTAAGAAAAATAATATAGTTACATCAGTAGATGCCAAAAGAGCATTTGACAAAATTTAGTATCCATTCATGAAAGTTCTAAGCACTTTAGGGATAGGTAGGAATATCCAGAACATCTACAGAAATCCTACAAATAACTTTATACAAAAAGATGGAAAATTAAATGTTTTCTTCCTAGGATCAGGATAGCCAACAATGTCCAGTCTTAATGATTTGAGTCAATATTTTATTGTAAGTTTTAGCATTGCAAGAATATAAAAAGAAATAAAAGGCATTCTCATTGGAAAGACACATATAAAATTAATTTTATTTGCAGACAACATGCCTAATTACATTGAAAATTCCAAGGAATGATGAAGAAATTCCTAGTTCTAATAAGTGAGTTTAGCACGGTTTTAAAGACAAGAGAAGTATACAGTATTCAGTCATTTGTTCACACTTAATAATAAACAGAAACTGAAATTTTAAAGGAAACACTATATACCATAACTCTGAAAAGAATGAAGTACTTAGGTATCTGTTCAGTAAAGTATGCGCAGGAGCTATATGCTAGATTGCAAAAACAGTCTTGAACGAAGTTAAAGGAGAGAGATTCCTGGATTGAAGGACTTGGTCACTATCCTAAGTCATTTTAAGAGCCTAATTTTTCCCAAATTAGTCTGAAGATTCGATGCAAACCCAGTCAAAGCCCTACCAACGTCGTTTTTACTCATAGACAAATTGAGTCCAAAATTCACACAGAAGGACAGAAACAAATTTTTCCAAAACAATTTGGAAAAAAAGAAAATTGGAGGCATTAATCTACATGATTTCAAGATTCAAAACAAAGTTCCTGGCCCCCTGGTGGCAGAGTGTGAAATTGGCGAAAGACTGTTAATGTAGATGATCAACAGAAACGTGGGTGAAGGGAGACAGTGGATGGTGTAAGATATGAAAGTGAAAACATAGCCGATATTAAGGGCTCAATTAAAAGGCAAATGTTTTGAGAATGATGATGGCAACAATTGTACAAATGTGCTTGACACAGTGATGTATGTATGGATTGTGATAAGAATTGTATGAGCCCCCAACAAAATGATTTGAAAAAAAAGAAAAGAAAAATATAATTTATGAAGGGTTCACGAGGCTGGGAGGGTGGGGGAGCGAGGAGAAAAAAGAAGAGAAAGGGCTCAAGTGGACAGAAAATGTATTGAAAATGATGTCAACACATGTAAAAATGTGCTTGATAACAATTGATGTATGAATTGTTGTAAGAACTTCCAATAAAATGACTTATTTTTAAAAAAGAATATTAATGTAGGCCTATGGAATAGAACAGAAAGTCCAAAATAGAGATACACTGATATGGTAAGTGATATTTGAGAAAGGTACAATAATAACTCTCTGAAGAGTGCACAATAATTTTAATCAATTGTGCAGAACAGCTGGATAGATTTTAGGAAAAGTAACTGGTTTTTAGAAATAGAAACTGGCTTGTATTCGCATTATACATAAAAATTAAATTTAAATGGATCATGCCTATATAGATGTAAAAGTAAAATGTAAAACTGAAAATGTTCATCTTGATGAAATCATAGGGTAAAAATCTTCATGAGCTTGCATTAACAATTCATAGATGCTAATCTTGGTTCTTAAGAGAAGAAAATTGATTTCATTGTCATTAAAAAATTTGATCTTTAAACAAGATCCTGTTAAAGAATATACACAAGCCAAGGACTGCAGTAGATAACATGCACGTTGTATCAGGAAAAGGACATACTCAAAATATATAAGAACTCTAAAAACTGCACAGTGAAAAAGAAACCACCCCAATAAAACATGAAAATGAGCTTTTATTGCCTGTTATATACTAATATTAAATGTAAAAAACTATCAAACTAACGGGAATTTGTATGGAAGCAGTGTGATGCCTATGTCAAGGTTGGCAATTCAAACCCACCAAGTACTCTCTGAGAGAAAGATTAGAATGTTTGCTCTTGTAAACATGTGTATCTGTGGAGACCCCTTCTATTGCTTTTATTAATGGAATTGACTATGACAATGAGTTGTATATATATATATTTTTTTGTGTGTATGTTTATTAATTTAGTCATTTTTTTCATGTCAATCAAATATGTATTGTGGAAGACCGGAGGAGGGGTTGTGGTATATGGAGAGATCTATAAGTACTAAAGAATTATTTTTCAGTACAGCTATGAAACACCTGTAATTTGAACACTATTAATATTTTAGTTTATACCTGTCATATCTTTAGGTGTGTGTTTGATTTAAACAAAATGGGATAGTTTCATTCACTGCTTACTTCTTAAATGATACTGTGATCATTTTACCTTATCATTTTATGCCTGTATAGCTTTTTACTTTATTATATATTTAAATTTTTCTATTTATATTCAATAATTAGACCTAATTTACCAGTTACACACATACACACACATATGTTTTTTCCCCACATATCTCCAACAGATTTATTTATTTATTTTTTGGAAAGGAATGAATTGTGCCCCCACACCCTCAAAAAATAAAAAATAAATATAAACGTTAGCCATTTTGCTAATTGCTTTATAACCACACAAACGAGTACAGATAGAGGTGTTCCCTTAGCAAGGCTGAAGAGTGCAGTCTCTGGGGTTTGGAAGTTAGGCGGCAGTCCTTGGTTTTGGACGGATCCGTGGGTGTGGGGGCACAACCCATGCTTTACCCAGATTTGAACAGAAGATTGGCCACTTGGCCCAGGTAGAAGTAGAGGAAGTGCTTAGTTTCGTGTGTCGTATAACTACCAAAGTTTCTGCCGGCCATGCAGTGCCAAGGGCGAGTGTACTTCTGGTCAAACTCCTACTTGATGTGGGCGCAATGTTCTTCTCTGTAGAACTTCTCCAGCACCTGAGTAGCGCACTCCACCGAGTCCTGTTGCATCTGCTCCGACTTGTCGGCATTTTTGATCATGGCCTTTTGGTCGCACATGGTCACCATGAAGCTCCGACAAGCAGACTGCAGGTGGTTAGAGTGGCTCAAACACAGCAAGAGGAGCCATTGCTAAGGAAGCCGTGGCACATCTTTAAAAATATTTTTATAGCCACACCTTTATTCTTACCCAGGATGTGTTTCCTAGGATAAGTGGAATTACTGGTATATGATATTGCACAAATCTCTTTAAAACAAATCTTAATATAATGCAACAATTAAATGGTATAATATGTGAAGTACATGCCAGTAAAATTATTAAAAAGAATATGGAGCCACAGTGGCCCTGTTAGGTAAGCATTGGACTGGTAACTATGAGATCAGTGGGTCAAATCCACCATCTGTTCCTCAAGAAGTAGATGAAGCTGTCTGCTCTTAGACAGTTTGACCACCTCCGAAAACCTACATGGAGTTGCTATGAGTTTGGAATCAACTCAATGGCAGTGTACTATTGTCTAATATAAGAATATTCTTATATACTTGAACTTCAAAGTGTCAAACTGATGTTTAAGTATCAGAAGGTACTCTCTTGACAGCCTGAGTTTTCTCAGGAATGATCTGTGTCCAAAATAATTTATTCCTACAAGTCCAGTAATACAACAGCCAAAAATTTAGAATAATGCCAGCTGCTATTTGAGAGAGAGCTATTTTCCTGACCTTATACTAAATAGATCCTAATCTTGATGATGACAATTATTGTGAAGCTCATTTTACAAATGAGGAGGACATTGTGCCTCCAAAGAGTGAAGTAGCTAAGATCTGATTGAAAGTCCAGCTTTCTAAAATTGTTTCATCTCTTTCTTGAAAATATTTTTCCCACTTTAATTAACTATTGAATTATTTGAAACAAATAAATGCTCTGATTTTAGTTCCTAATATGTGAAAAATCAATGTGAGTCAAATAAGCCGGTTTTACCACTTGAAAATTACAATAGTTTAAAATCAGATCTTGAAGTTTTATCTTGATAAAAACTGTTAGCAGAGTTCATGGAAAAATTCCATTAGTTTTTTTTCCCCTCCATTAGTATTTGATTCCATTTTTTTTTTCACCAAACTTTTAAAACCTCATATATGACTCGATTTGCTAGTTAGGATGCTATTCAAACATTAGTTCAAATGGTAAGTTTTAGTTTTCCATCCTGGGGGATTTTTCTGCAGTTTTGTTTCTGACATTGTCCTTGTAGCGATTAGTAGCAATCGTAGAATGTGGCTACTGTGTGCAAAGGCGGGTCTCATCCCAGATGCTTTCTGACAGGAGATCCCAAGGAAACCCGTTTTACTTGAGAGTACGACTTAATACTTTGAGATCAAAAATTCTTTGTTGAGATACTTTCAGTTGTTGAGTTCTTTCCATGTTTATCGTTGGTTAATTTTCTAAGTTAAAAAAGATATATATATAGGCATATGACATATTTATATAAAACATCTTACCTGTGCTTTATCAAATTATTCTAATGGAACAGGAAAACTTATTGATAGTTACCTTCTTTCTCATATGGAGTGACTATATTGGGTCCACCTTTCAAAATGATGGCATTAAAATTTATATGAATATGTAAATTTGTTTCTTTCAGGATTCTTTTGTGGGGCCATTTAACCGAAAAGCACGGCAAGAAAGCATGAGGTATAATAATATGCTTAAACAACTTAGCAGCCAGCAGTTGGCTACTCTGAGACGCTGGAAGGCGGTACAGCTCTATCTGACATGTGAAAGGGGACCTTGGGCTGAAAGGTAAGAATATATAATTTACTACCTTTTTATTTTAGAATTTAGATCTAGAACTTTTTGAGTCAATGGGCCCCTTTATGCTAATGTTTCTTTTTAAAGTTTGTATAAAAAAGAATGGTTTTAATAACTGTCAATTTATTTTTGTGAATTCTAGCTCTGGGATGTTTAGAGGTTTGTATGTAAACATTTTCACCCTGAAGTTATTTCTGTTTCTTTTATTCTGTGTAGTAGATAGTTTCTTGAACATTAGACTCTTTCAAAAAAAATCATTTTATTTGGGGCTCATACAGCTCGTATCACAATCCATACATCTATTGTGTCAAGCACATTTGTACATAGAATATTAGGCTCCTTTTATAATTTTTGACTCTTCTTTGGTCTTCTTTTTGGAACATTAGACTCAAGTTTTGACTTTTTCTCCCTGCTTTCCAGAGACTACCACTGTGAACTAGGATTAGTGATATTATACTTACTTTTCACTTATTGACTATCTTGGTATTAGTCATTTTGCATTTCTAACTACAGTAAAAAAGTCTGTGGGTTTGGAGGAGCTGACACTAAGGGCTTACTAGAAAATAAATGTCTAGAAAATAATGATGGCAACATATGTGTTTGATACAGTTGATGTAAGGATTGTTCCAAGAGCTGTAAGAGCCCCCAATAAAATGTTTAATAAAAAACAAAGTCTAAAATATGGCTACTATGCACATTAGCCACATCCTACCTATAAAGCACTTGTCATTTGGGGTAAATAATTTAACCTTTCTCAGCTTCAGTTTTATCATCTGTATATTACAGCTGTACATACCCACTTAGATTTTCTTTCTTGGTTGTTTCATCCATGAGAGAAAATGTGATATGGTTTTTGTTATTTAATTTAAGTGTTGCTAAACAAATATAAAGTATTTGATGCTATTTACATTATTTCAGCCAATGAGTGTTTTGCGATACTAAGCTAAATAGCTTTACTTGTTTTTGTATGAATATTCATAGGAAGGAGAACCCAAGTCACTGGAAACTAACTAATGTAGAAAATTATTCCCGTATGAGACTTAAATTGGTGCCGAATTATAACTTCAAAACCCATGAGGAAGCTAGTGCTTTGAGAGATAATCTAGGTGAGTCCTAATGACCATTTAATTGTTGGATGTCCGGAGGGTGTGGGTGGGGTTAGTCATTGTTGGCTTATTGTTCATGAAGGACAGGTGATATTTTACCATTGATATTTAAATACTGTTTGTGTTCAGTGCTGTTGTTCCTCTATGATGACTGTTGTTAATTCTAAGATGACTTCATATTTTAGTTGGTTATAATTTTTCAAAGAAAAAATAAATTTAAAATGATAAAATTATATGTAATATGAAGTGCTATGTCACTCACATTCATTTACTGTGAAACAAAGCACTTTTCCCTTAACTTTATAAGCTTTCTGAGACCTAGGCTAATGTTAATGTTAGGTATATAGTCTTTTGCTTTATAACCTGCTCTTAGAGAACTCAAAAAAAAAAAAAAGAGAGAACTCAAAATCCAGACTCACTGCTGTCAAGTCAGCTCCGACTTAGAACATCCCTGTAGGACACACTAGAACTGCTCTCCATGGGTTTCTGGGGCTGCATATCTTTATGGGATTAGGCAGCCTCATCTTTTGCCTGTGGAGTGAGTGACTGGTGGTTTTGAACCACTCACTTCATAGTTAGCTGCCCAACACATAACCCACTGAGTTGCCAACCTCACACTCACTGGTTCTAATCTATCCATCAATCCTCATGTGAAAGATAAAGCTTTGCTCCCCTGGAGATTTAAAGTCTTTGAATTCCACAGTGACAATTCTACTCTGTCATATAGGGTCACTGTGAGTCAGAATTGATTCGATGGTAGTGAATAAATCAACTTTAGAACAGCGATTCTCAACCTGTGGGTCGCAACCTCTTTGGAGGTCGAAGGACCCTTTCACAAGCATCGCTCATTCATAACAGTAGCAAAATTACAGTTATGAAGTAGCAAAGAAAATTATTTTATGGTTGCGGGGGTCACCACACATGAGGAACCGTATTAAAGGGTTGCAGCCTTAGGAAGGTTGAGAACCACTGCTCTAGACCCTGAATACTGTAGATTGAGTAATGTCATTTTCTGAAATATGACACTTAAAATTATGTAACTTAGTAAAATTTCAAAACTAACTTTAAGGCTTTTTTTTTTTTAATTTCTAAAACTCTTTAGGAAGCAGTTTCTTTCTAACCGTCTTGATAACTTGTTTCCTTTTTTAAAGAACAACAACAACAAAACCCAAACCAAATTGACAACCTTGAGTCATTGCTGATTCACAGTGATCCAAGAGACGGTCTTAGTTGCTATTTAGTACATGATTTTTGTTTGAACAGGAATCCAGCACTCACAGCCTTCCAGTGATTCCTTACTTTTGGAAGTCGTGAAACAAGTAAAAGTTAGTGATGTGGAAGAGGATAGATTAGACCTTCCTGAAGATGACACAACAAACAGAGTAAATATGTATGTATAACATTTGAAATAATTTTTCATTATTTTTTCCGAGACATGAAATATTAAATTGTGGAAGATAATTGCTTGACATTTTATACTTTGTATTTTATATGTTCAATAGTTAATGCTAAATTAGCTGTTAGAAGTCTATCTGTGTAATTGAGATTATTAAGAAAGATTTCTTAGAACTAGAGTAACATGGAGCTGAATGGTAAAATTAGAAAACATTTTAACTGAATTATATTGAAAATATAATATCTCAAATTAGTTTAGATAGAAATGTAGAGCATTGAATAAGACTGCTTATGTAAACAGAAGGAAAGAAGCAAAAATCCATGAAAGAGAAAGCCAAAAAAATTAAAAGCTTGTTATTGAAATGTCATTTAAATGGATGACAAGTGTAAGCCCCTTGCGAGACAGACCAGGAAAAAAAGGCATCGTAAATTACTATTACCTGGAATGAGAGTTAAAATTATTGCTAACATTAAAATGATTCTGTCAACCAAAATTATAAATCCAGGGAATCTCCTTCAAAATGAAGGCGCTGGTGCTGGAATATGTGTATACCCAAGTGCAAAAAAATGAATTTGGTACTTGATTAAATTGTGTCCTTCCAAATATGTGTCGTAAATCTTATCTTTATGCCTGTGACAGCAATCCCATTTGGTAAGTGGTTGTCCTCCTTGAATTACAAGGTAGGGTTAAAGTAGGATATACTTTACCGGATATAATAGAAGAAAATTAAGCAACCAGAGATGGGGAAAAGATGCATACCAAGTCACTTGGAGATTTCCAAGCAACCAGGCACCAGACATTGAGAGACTGAGACCATTTCCACAGGCAGCAGAGAGAAGAAGCCATCTCTGAGAGTCAGTACCCACAATTTGATCTTCTAGCTTTCTGAACTGTGGGAAAATATGTTTGTCTGCTGAATGTGCTCATTTATGGTTCTGTTGTAGCGGCACTAGATTATTAAATTAATTCCATTTCCAGGAGAGTGGGGTGCTGCCTCTAACGGATACTGAAAATGTATAAGTAATTTTGGAATTGGGTGATGAGTTCAGGCTGGGAGAGCTTCATGGTTCCTAACCGAGCACTCATTTGTTAGCCGTTCGTCATGTGGTGGTGGCTTGCATGTTGCTGTTATGCTAAAAGCGGTGTCCCTGGTCCTTCATACACCTATAGGATTGCCCATGTTGGACGGGTTTCCGTGGAGCTTCCCGACTCAGACAGACTTAAGACAGAGGAGAGGGGTTCCAGTTGTGAGGAATTAGCCACTGAAAAACTGAAGAATAGCGATGAGACTGTGAGATCCCTCATGACACAGATGGCTTGGAGGACAGTATTTTGCTTAGTGAATTAGTTAAATACAAATGTGCAAATACCATTTGAGACCACTGTTATTTTAAAAAGTGAAGGAAAAAAGTTATTACAAAAAGAATTCTGCGCTCTTCAATTTATACACACGTCAAAAAAGCAATTTTGGCATTCTCAAGAGACTCAAATCATGTTCTTTTTGAATGTTCTTTGAGTTAGGGGAGCAAAATACTCTGAAGGACAGTAGGGTGGACTGCATAAGATTTACCCCTGGGGGGGGGGGGCTATAAAAGCGATTGGCATAACCTTCTGAGCTGAACTCCCTGCCTTGAATTTAACTGACCCAGCAGATCCCCTTAGAAGCCATTTAAAAAAAAATTATTGATATTATCTTACCCATTCCAATATATTCATTCATACAGTTCTGTTCTATCACATTGGGTGGGGTTATACAATCATCAATGAGAAGCCATTATTTTGATTGGACCTTGTGATAATAATTCATTTTGTAAGAATTAATACCAAAGTAGCCCCAAGAAGTTGGAGATTGAAAATGTCCCAAAAGTCCAACTCTTGCAAGATGGTAATCTATTCTATGTTACCCCCAACTCTTCCCTGGAATCTATTCTTTCATGTCTCTGGGTTCTGTGAATCACTGTAGTTTCCCATGGAACTCATGGAAGTTCAAGGAAATGTCTCACATGGTGGTAAGTGCTGTTCAGTTCAAAATCCAAAAATCAGTCAAGGGTAAGCCTGATGGGCCAGATGACACATGCCATTCCTGACTCTTGCTGGTGATGAGATCATACCCCAGGCTTCTAAGTGGGTTCATTTTATTAGAAGCAGAATGGCATTGCCAGGAATCTTATTCACAGTTACTCACAGGTGAATCCCATCAGAATCTTCCGCCACCTTTTTACCAGACCCATGCAGGGAAAGGTGGTTTGGTGGGAGTTACATGGCACAGTCAAATTTCACCCACATGTAATCATCTATTCTCTACCCTTGGACTATCCTACTTAGGAATGTGTACTGGGCCTTCCAGTAGACATCGGTCTGCTGCTAATCTTAATTAGTCAGGCGTTTTCTCAGGCCACGCTAGAAACAGTTTTCTTTCTCCCGTGAGATGTAGCATATAATTCTTTACATCCCTTACAATAAAGTGACCAGATTTTAACATTGACCGGGGAGGGGAGTGGGGGCTGTTTCTTGATTAAAAATTTGGTCTATGTGGAGCAACAAAAATTTTCATAGAACTCCAAAATAGTATTGTAATATATTTTTTTAATTTCAACATAAGTACAATTTACAAATATAATACATTAAAAAGTATGTATAGTATTATTTTATTCTTTGGCATATTTCTCATTTGTGAATTTTTTTAGTAGATTGCTGTCGTTTAAAGGTCATGAAATTTTTCACAAGAATCTGTTAAATTATATTTCACACATAAAATGGCTTTCAAAGTTTCAACACTTAATTGTGAATTTTCTGATGTCCACACTTTATTTACTGTAGAAAAAATGCGTTCAGTCGCAGCATTAGTTCCTGGTAAGGACATCGCGTATTCCACAATTTTTAGTGCATTACTGTATGGAACATGGTTTGTTTCAAAATGACGAAATATTTCTAACCATTTGTTCTCTATTGTGATTTTTGCTGATGCCCAAGATTTAACCTTTTCCTTATCAATATATTTTTTTAATAATGATACCTCATTAAAAAGATCATTTTTGGAAATATTACTATGGGAAATTTTGAGTAACATGATCGAATGATTTTTGCACATCATTCCAGTACTGTCTGCTAAATTCAAATGAAATAAATAACTTACCTAAATTATCTGAATAGCTGATTTGTTGACATCACTTGTTTAACTAGCACTATCACGCAGTACGATGTGTATCATCTGAGAGACAGTTACAAAATGTTTTTGTCGTTGCCAATGCCAAAAAATGCCATTGTTCATTAAGTCCAAACAATGGTGGTCAAATTCTAACAACTGATCAACAATGCGAACTTTGATAAGCAGTTCTTGATAGTCAGTTCTCAACAATTATTTGTTATTATTAAAGTTTAACATTATAAAATTAGCAAAAATAATATAACACTCATATCCTGGCGAAATAGCCACATAGCAGCCAAAAACCGTTATCTTCCCTTCCCATTCTCCCACCGTTCCCTAGCTTGTCGTGCATTCTTTCCAAAAATCGGGACTGTTTTAAAACACCGTGGGACGTGAGACAAATTGTTGAAAATCGGGACATTTGGTCACCTTACTTATAAGTAACAGAAACCAAGATACCCATTAAATAATGAATATGGTCTGATTCACACCCTCTACTAAGATCAGAACTCATTTTCATCCCATTCCTATTTATTAGCAGATAATACCCTCCAAAATGAGATTATAGCCATCGGATATGTGAAATCTAGAATTACACTATCTCATCTAAGGCAGTGGTTCTCAAACTGTGGGTCACAACCCCTTTGGGGGTTGAACAACCCTTTCACGGGTCACCTGATTCATAACAGTAGTGAAATTACAGTTATGAAATAGCAATGAAAATAACTTTATGGTTGGGGGGGGTCACCACAACATGAGGGCGGCGGCATTAGGAAGGTTGAGAACCACTTTTCTAAGGGATTATGACTGGAAGGGCCATTTTTTTAAGGTGCCCTAACAAGATTAAGACAAGTGCTCTGCTGAGAGAATTTATCTACAGCCATCTGCTGATCACAGACTTGTTTCAACACCATTTGTGCATACATGAATTGCATCTCTAGTGCCAACGCCCTTTTCCTCCTTAGGTAGTATAGCAGCACTCAGTAAGTCAGAAAGTAACCAAAGGGAAAAATTGGACTTCATCAAAATTTACAACTTGATGCATTACAAGACATCATGAAGAAAGTGAAAAGAGAGACCGGGCTCGCTGACTTCATAGAGCTGAAGTCTATGACTCTTACAGGGCTTTTAAGCCTGGAACTGACCTCAGTCCTGTAGCTCAACTTCCATACAGTAGACTGGTCTGTAAGGTTAGAAATAACACGAGCGCAGTAAGCACTCTTTAGGTAGAATTCAGCCTTACTATACCAAAAGAACAGCATTTGCCCAGGGGCAAGGCTCAAAAGATTAGGAAGAGATAGAAAGAGGACAAATGGAAATGCTAAACAGAGGGAGGAAGTGGGAAGAGTATTAAATTGCGGGAATTGCAATCAGTATCACAAAGTATGAATTGTTCATTGGAATAACAATTTGCTCTGCAGACTTCCACTCAAATCATAAGAGAGTGAAAAGAAAACTTAATGAGATAATTTCAAGTCATGTATTTCATAAGGCTCTATAAATAAGGCTCAAGACTCTATAAATAAGGCTCATAAGGCTCAAGTCATATATTTTATAAGGCTCTATAAATCCAGGATTTAGAAAGAACTCTTAAAATTCAACAGTGAAAATACAAATAACCCACTTAAAAGCAGAATGAAGGCCCTCAGTATGCATCGCTCATAGAAGACATTAAAACACCTGTAAGCACTTGAGCATATACTCCAGTTCCAGGGCCAGGGGCATCCCGTGATGGTGATACGCTAATTTTTATTGCACTTGAAATTTTTCTTTGTACAGTTTTAGAATAAAAATTAGTATTTTAATATTCCATTGATGAAACACGCAGTATTCCTCTGGTTCTGATGAGGCTTCCTCATCCCCCACTCTTATGGCCCTAATCCTGCATTTCAATTCTGGCTAGACCGGAGCATGTACATTGGTCCAGATAAGACCCCACGACACACGGAATCCAGGTCAGATAAACCCCTCAGGAATAGAAATGGGAGTAGCGATACCAGGAGGGCAGCAGGGAGGAGGGCAGAAAGGCGGAACCGATTGCAATAATCGACACATAATCCCACCCCCCAGGCGGATGAGTAACAGAAACATTGGGTGAAGGGAGACAACGATCAGTGTAAGAAAAACAGTGCTTTAATAAATTATTTCCAAAAATGCCATTAAAGTGCGTACTTTTATTCACAGATTCAAGTATTTTCTGAGTCAGACCAGGTGTCCCCGAATATAACTAAAAAGACATGCCAATACTGCTGATTGTTTGACCTGTCTTCTGGCTGCACTGCTGATTATTTTGACTGTATTAATGGATCATATGCAATTAAACTGTAATGCATATTCTTCAATGAAACCAAACCATTGTGTTAACTAAAAATATTTGGGCAATATTTGTATAATTTAAGATACAGTATGCTATTTCTGTAGATAACTCAAATACTCTTTCTTGGGTTATTATAGCCATTTGATGTTTATTGGAATATGCTATTCTTTTCATTTAAGCAATATATAATATTGGATGTTTGTTCATTTCCAGTGATGAGAAAGAAGAACAAGATCAAAAAGAAAAATTGGTGTTGATGGAAGACTGTGAACTTATTACAGTAGTTGATGTGATTCCTGGAAGATTAGAAATCACTACTCAACATATTTACTTCTATGATGGAAGCATTGAAAAAGAAGATGGTAAGAAGTTCTGGGAGATTAATTTTTGTTATCTACTAATTAACTTTTTAGTTGATGAATCATGAATGAGAAGGAAACAATAAGACAAGACTGTGAAATTGTAGTTGGTCATAGAGAGAGAAGTGGAAAATCAAAATAGGATTAAATTCCTCATTCAACAATATGTTGACAGGAAAACATTTATTGTTACTATTAATGTACTTTGAAAGATTTGACCCGAGAAAGCTACCATAAGCCTAAATTTGAAGTGCAATCATAATTTTATCATACTTTTGCATTATATGAATTTTTGTTGGGATTTGTTACTTGTAGAGGTTACTCATCTTATCTTTGATGTGATAATGAAAGGAATGATTAAGATATCCACCTAAAGCGAAAATGAAAAATATTTCTGAAACATAGTATTCGGAATTATTCTCTGTTCTCATGAGAACGCGGTAGGATAGCTAAGGAATTTTTTTAGTAGCTATAAAAGAATCATAATTTAAACCATCTAATAAATTTAGTAAATGGTTATGACGGATTCAATTCTTCCTCTTTTTAAAAAATTCTTCCTCTTTAAGTTTTCATTTTTTCAGTAATGACTTATTTTCTGCATAGCACAAGTAACTGTAAGAGGCCTTGTGGTCCTTTTGTTTCAGGAGTAGGTTTTGATTTCAAGTGGCCTCACTCCCAAGTTCGAGAGATTCACCTGCGGCGTTACAATTTAAGGAGGTCAGCCCTTGAAATTTTTCATGTCGACCAATCCAACTACTTTCTCAATTTCAGAAAAGAGGTATGTAAGATCCTATCTTGCTAGGCACCCTGAATGCTATCCCAGCTAGTAAAATTTAACCAAGCCTTCAGGTTATATACTATTTGGTCAGGTCAGAATATTAGAGGGGGTGTGGAATATATATATATATTTGGGGCTTTCAGTATGATAGGCATTTTTGTTGGGATTTATTTATATTTGAGTGTCAGGAGGGAAGTTGTTATCAATTCTTCTACATGTATGAGCGGTGATGCTTCAAAAAGTCTGTAAAAAATTAAAAGATAATGAAATATTTCTATGACCTTTTTGAAGTCCCCTATTACTACACAGGGGTGGTCAAAAAGTATTGCTACTAGAATTCCAGGTCATACATGCCAACATAGCATGTGTAAACATGTTTCTGTGATCAGTGAAGGGCTGCACACAATAAAACAGTAAGTTCTCCGAGGATATCTGTTTCAAGGTGGAGAGATCAACTCAGAAGGTTGTGATCACTGGTTTTTTGCATCCACAAAGAATAGTCTTGACAGATTTTTGTCCCCTCCTCCCCTCCAAGGACACAAGACTATCCCAGGGCTTGTTATCAGGAAATTTGAAGAAAACTGAAAATTGCATTGGTGAGATAAAGGCCAGGAAAGGTGTGCAAGTAATTGCTTTCTATCACAACCACGTATCTGCTCCTTCTTGTGGATTGGAAGCACTAGCTTACAAGTTAGGGTTCTGGTGGCATATGCCTTGGGCTGTAATCCCCAAGTCAGCAGTTCAAAACCACCAGCAGCTCCTTGGGACAAAGACGGGGCTTTAATTCCCATTCAGAGTTGAAGTCTGAGAAACTCATTCACTGACAGTTCTACGCTGTCCTATAGGATCACTGTGAATCAGTATTGACCTCTATTGCAATGAGTAAAATCGTGTATGAATTTCATTTGGAAATCTTATTCCATCTTCCTGTCAGTCTTGATTTTGTTCCTTCATGCTTCTTTTTGTTCTCCAAAGAAAGACCATGTCAGTGGCACACAATTGAAATCCCTCGAGGATGCTAAAACTTCGTTTATAAAGTACTATAAATTATAGAGTCCTTTTGGTATAGTGGCTATGAGTTGGGTTACTAACTGCAAGGTCAGCAGTTTGAAAACACCAGCCGCTTCATGGGAGAAACATGAGGATTTCCACTCCTGCAAAGAGTTAGTCTCTGAAACCCACAGTCGCTCTTGTACACTGCACTGTGGTGCACTGTGAGTTGGAATCAACCCAGTGGCAGTGAGTTTTGAGAAATCACAGCACAGAATTTCTTGGAAAAGGTTAAGAGTAGTGCGAACAGTGTCTTCACAAGTGTATATCCCCAGATGGGGGGGTAGCTTCACATTTTTATTATCTTTTTTATTCTTATTTTTGCTGAGACCCAACTGGCTAGGTCGTCTACCTCAACGCCTTGCTTTTTTTAAAAATACTGTTTTTATTGACATACCTTACATATTCCAGTGTATCCATTCACACACAATTCTATTGTTCAGTCCCCTTGGGTGGGGTTATACAATCAGCAATGCTGTCAGCTTCCCTTCCCCCTCCCTTTTTGATTATTTTTGTTTCTAAGGTTTACTATGATTTTGTTGCATTACATTTTCACTTACCCTTGTGGGTATATGCATGGGAAAATGGAATTTTTCTACCAAGTGTTTAAAGTGCCCCCTCGTGTATAAATAGATAGGAAGTAGGTAGGTAGACAACTACAGAAGCCATAGTTGTTGAAAATCAGTCGATTAAAGTGCCTTGCAGTATTTGATTTTGGTATACTATGCAATAAATATGGTATGCCTGGATATTTGATAATATAATGGGTTCAAATCCTGTAATAATGAGACATCTATTTCTTATAATAATATAATTATAAAATAATTTCAGAGCATAATTTGAAGCCAAATCTGGGCTCAAACATCATTCCTACCACAAGCTCTGTAGCCTTGGGACAGCGTCAGACTTGCATAATGTTCTGGTGACTCTCCCCCTCTGCCTGACTCTCCTCCCAATTTTATCTCACTTAACTAACTAATAAAACCCTCATTTGTTCAATTTTGCTACCATGCTTGAGATTAATCAGACAAGAAGTTGTGTTCTTCAGTGGGACCTAGGTTTATGTACTAAATTACTTGATTCAAGCATTTTAAGAGTATTTTTCTATTTTAAAAATAAAATTCCATTTGCTATTACATGGATCTCCCCTACGAAAATACAAATTATACATTTTTCGAAAGCTATGTCATGTAGTTACCACGTCTGTACCTGTTTAATGTTGTACATTGTATGACACAAGTTTTTCACTTTTGTTTTAATATTTTGTTGTGTTTTAGGTGTGAGAGTTTACATAGCAAAGTAGATTCTCGTTCAACTGTTTTTATGCATGTTACTTCATGACACTGTTTACATTATTCAAAATATCTCACACTTATCATTTTTTACCATTTTATTTTCATTCATTTAGCTGCCCTGCCTTTTCTTAGTTTTTCATGTTTGTTTTACAGTAAATCTGGACCATTTAGTCTCATGTAATTGAATATATCAGGAAGCACAGCACACACTAGTAATATTGTTTATAAAGCCAGCCATTCTATTATTTGGATGAATGCTGGCTACCAGGAGTGACTGCTAAGTTCCAAGGTACAAAGATAGCTTAGAGTTGTCACCTTGGCATTTCATTTGGTCTTTGTTTGGTCCATTAAGTCTGGCCTCTTTTTAGGAACTTGAGTTCTGTGTTTTTCTCCCATATCTCTCTAGTACTTTCCCTGATCAGAATAGTAGTGGTAGCCAGACACCGACCAGTTTTTCTGGTTTCAGGCTAGATGAATAAATATGGTTTTTAAAGTATGTTTTTATAAAGTACCCCTCCTTCATAACAGCGATCAGATTAGATAGCATATCATAGATGAGGAAACAAGTTCAAAGGTGAATCTAATTTTACTTCATATTTACATAGTTCTGACTAATTCTCAATAGGATAAAGGTTATTATATTTAATTTTCAAAAGAGACTCAGTAAATGAAATGATTTCCCAATATGATTAGTAAGCGATATAACTAAATTTGAGTGAGATTTGAACAGTTTTGTGATTCTAAGTCAAATGATCTTTTAATTATTTAATTAAAAGATCATTTTATTGGTGCGCTTATAGCTCTTATAACTATCCATACATCAATTGTATCAAGCATATTTGTACATATGTTGCCATTGTTATTTTCTAAACATTTACTTTCTATTCAGCCCTTAGCATTATCTCCTCCCCCCCCCCCCACCACAAAGGTGTTAAACTTTAACCTGAGTCTGGAATTATCCACTTTCCAATGCATTCTTGTGATTAGCAGCCCAACTTGTAACCACTACGCCACCAGGGCTCCCTCCAATGCATTCTTTAAAAAAAAATAATTTTATCAGGTGCTCTTATAACTCTTATCACAATCCGTACATCCATCCCATTGTGTCAAGGTTTGGGAAGGGAAAAAAATGAGCTGAGCCCATGAACTCAATTAGAAAAAAAATGTTTTAAAAATGATGATGGCAGCATACATAAAATTATCTTTTCATTACATACTAAAACCTTTAAAAATTATATGTGGCTTGACTTTAGCGAGTCTAGTATAGGAATAAGTTAAAATCATGATTTATCATTTATATGAAATGTCCAAAGGAGACAAATGCATGGAGGAGGCACAGGAGAAATCACTGGTTTCCTGGGGATTGGAGGAGGGGCAACTGGATAGTGCTTGGGGTTTCATTTTGGGATGAAGAAAATGTGTTACAGTTGTAGTGATAGTTGTACGACTTTGCGAATATACAGAAAGCCATTGGAGCGTATACTTTTAAAGAGTGGATTTTATGGAATGTGAATTATATCTCAAGATTAAGATAGAAGCCATAATCATCTCCTTCAGTTTTCAACAATAAAATGCTGATTTTTGGGGTAGGTTCGAAACAAAGTATACAGCAGACTACTATCGCTTCATTCTCCAAATACTTACGGAGCCAGATCACCACAGGAGGCTTTCAAAGCATCAGGATTGACACAGGTAGGAAATTCACTGTCTTTTTTTTAAATCGTTTTATTAGGTGCTCGTACAACTCATCACAATCCATACATACATCAATTGTGTGAAGCACATTTGTACATTCATTGCCCTCATCATTCTCAAAACATTTGCTCTCCACTTAAGCCCCTGGCATTAGGTCCTCATTTTTCCCCCTCCTTCCCTGCTCCCTCCTCTCTCATGAACCCTTGATAATTTATAAATTATTATTTTGTCCTATCTTGCCCTGTCCGACGTCTTCCTTCACCCACTTTTCTGTTGTCTGTCCCCCAGGGAGGAGAGCACATGTAGATCCTTGTAATCAGTTCCCCCTTTCCAACCCACTCTCCTTCTACCCTCCCAGTATCGCCACTCACACCACTGGTCCTGAATGGATCATCCGTCCAGGATTCCCTGTGTTTCCAGTTGCTCTCCGTACCAGTGTACATCCTCTGGTCTAGCGAGACTTGCAAGGTAGAATTGGGATCATGATAGTGGGCAGTGGGGAAGCATTTAAGAACTAGAGGAAAGTTATATGTTTCATCGTTGCTACATTGCACCTTGACTGGCTCGTCTCTTCCCCAAGACCCTTCTGTAAGGGGATGTCCAGTGGCCTACAAATGGGCTTTGGGTCTCCACTCCGCACTCACCCCTTTATTCACTATGGTAAGATTTTTTTGTTCTGATGATGCCTGCTACCTGATCCCTTCGACACCTTGTAATCACACAGACTGGTGTGCTTCTTCCATGTGGGCTTTGTTGCTTCTGAGCTAGAGACACTGTCTTGGTATCCTTTTTGTAGCTTAGATTTTTGCTTAAAAGTGAAACTTTCTTTTTTTATGAGTATTTTATTATCCCAACTATTGTTTTTCCTTCAGATCTTTTGCATTGTCTTGGAATCGTCTCTTGTTTCCCTCAAACACATTGTCTCTTATGCTACACATTTCATAAGGAAGTCCTACGGACTTTTCTTTTAAAAAAAATATTTTTCTTATTAATAAAAGTTAACTTTTTAAAAACAAATAATTCATCCACATGTAAGCATGCAAGAAAATACAAAAAAAGAAACAACCAAAAAACTCCAAACCATGAAAAACAAAATCACTACTCTCTACTACAAAATTGAACTAATGCCACTGAGTGATGTTTTTTGTCCTCACCTGTGCGCCAGCATCATTGGAGATTATACTGGGAAGAGCCAAATGAGACTGTACTTTCTTTTTCTGCTTTCCAAAAGGATTATTCGTAGTCCCTAATTTTAGTTTCTGTCTCCTAACTTTCTTCTTTCTTCTATATATGCACTAATTTTTTTCTAACGTATTGCTCTTATCCATAAGTTATCAGCAATTCCTTTGTGTTGTCTATGGAATAGCTATATTTCATCAAGTACTTTTTCCATTGCCTACTGAGTAAGTTTCATTCGTTAAAGTAATGATTCTTCAACTGTCACTTTGGAACCATTAAAATGGGAATTTCTGTGTGATCTGTATGTAGTGATTTATTTCCCACTGTTCCCATGGTATGTATGTCCTTTGCTCAGGCCCACAGTAACCCTCAAGGAGAATGATCCTCTGTCAGCAGATTGTCTAATATATTCATACCGTGTAATGAGCAGAAGAGTTACAATGAAGTGATTAGAATAATGATTATCTCTTGCTTTAGAAAGTTCTGTCTCAAAGTATAGCAAAATCTTATCTATAATTGCTACAAAGGCATTTTTCTGAGAAAAGTAATCTAAGGGTTCATTAAAATCTTATAAAATTTTAATATACTATTACTTTTAATATAGCTATTATGAAAAGCACAACTTTTCCCCCCCTTTTTAAAATCATTTGATTGGAGGCTCATACAACTCTTATCACAATCCATACATCCATCCATTGTGTGAAGCACATTTGTACAATTGTTGCCATCATTATTCTCAAAACATTGAGATTGTTTTGAGCCCTTGGTATCAGCTCCTCATTTTTTCCCCTCCCTCCCCACCTCTGTCCCCTCACGAACCTTTGATAGTTTATAAATTACTATTATTTTGTCATATCTTACACTGTCCGACATCTCCCTTCACCTACTTTTCTGCTCCTTTCTCAGGGAGGGGCTTATATGTAGATCCTTGTGATTGGTTTCCCCTTTCTACCCCACCTTCCCCTTACCCTCCTGGCATTGCTACTCTTAGTATTGTTCCTGAGGGGTTTATCTGTTCTGGATTCCCTGTTTCCAGTTCTTACCTGTACCAGTGCACATCCTCTGGTCTAGCTGGATTTGTAAGGTAGAATTGGGATCATGATAGTGGTGGGGAGGGAGCATTAAAGAAATAGAGGAAAGTTGTATGTTTCATCATTGCAATTCTGCACCCTGACTGGCTCGTCTCCTCCCCACGACCCTTCTGTAAGGGGGTGTCCAGTTGCCTACAGATGGTCTTTGGGTCTCTACTCCGCATTCCCCCTAATTCACAATAATATGGTTTTTTGTTCTTTGATGTCTGATGCCTGATCCCAGTGATACCTCCTGATCACACGGCTGGTGTGCTTCTTCCATGTCGGCTTTGTTGCTTCTCAGCTAGATGGTCACTTGTTTATCTTCAAGCCTTTAAGACCCCAGATGCTGTATCATTTGATAGCCGGGCACCATCAGCTTTCTTCACCACATTTGCTTACGCACCCACTTTTGTCTTCAGCGATTGTGTCAGGAAGGGAAAAGCACGTCTTTCAATATAAAATTTTCAAAATGGAAAAGTTCTTCTTTTAGAGTTAGTATTTTTCACGTTAAATAAAATGTTTACTCAACTGAAGAAAAGACAGTTCTTCTGTCCTTTTTCTAGAGCCCAAATAAAGAAATACATTGAAGAATATTATTCATTTTCTGTTTAATCTTTTTTTTTAAAGCCTCACTCCATTTATTATGAAGATGGTAGAGATGCTTGTATTAGTACTATCAGTGATTGTAGGAACCCTGATGTTGTAGGTAGTAGTTACGAGTTTTGCTAACCACGAGGCTAGCAGATTGAAACCGCCAAGGTGAGGCGTTCTAATATCATGAAGAATTGTCTCAGAAACACTCAGGCTTACTGTAAGTCAGAGTTGACTTGATTTGGTTTCATCTATAATTTGGCTGCTTTCTAAGGTATGTAGATGATTTTAATCTTTTTGGTAATGTCTACTCTTTTTGGTACCATATAGAAATGGGTGAACAGAGAGATATCAAATTTTGACTACCTCATTCAAATAAATACAATCGCAGGACGAACTTACAATGACCTTGCACAATACCCTGTGGTAAGTTTTTACATAAATGGTATAAAGACGAAGTTCCTTTTCAGTTTTGCAATGCTCAAATTTATATATATGTGTTACTTGAAATACTCTGATTTTAAAATATATTAACTCTGTTTGCCTTTTTATATTTTCTTTTATGGTATTTTTAAGAAGAATATAAATATGAAGAAGAATTTTAAAATAAGTTTTTCTTTTCAGCATATTGAAAATATTCTAGGGAAATTCTGGTTATCAAACTAACAGTGAACAGGAATAAAATATTTTTAAAGAGTATCCTTTTTTGTCTTTAGATAAACATTTGAAATTAGATAGGTGGGTATTAAATTAACCAGGAAGGAATGTCTGAATTGTAAATTGTGGTTATTTTAGTTTCCTTGGATTTTACAAGACTATACTTCAGAAGAGTTGGACCTTAATAATCCAGCTGTATTTCGAGATCTCTCCAAACCAATTGGGGTTGTTAATGATAAAAATGCCAAAGCCATGAGGGAAAAGTAAGTGCTTTTTATTGCTCTTAAATTATTCATTGCTTGTTTGAATTAGTAATGATTTAACCCAACGTTACTTTTTTTAATGCTCAACTATTTTTGATAGAGTTTGATATGTTTTACAGTAAGTTTCCCTGAAAATGTCTTAGTTGCGCTTCAAATATTTTAGCTAGAAACCCCACTGCCATTGAGTGGATTCTGATTCTAAATGGGCCGGTATAGCATTTCTGAGACTGTACATCTCTGTGAGAGCAGATAGCCTCATCTTTCTCCTGTACAGTGCAGTGGACTGATTTGAACCACCAACCTTGTGGTTAGCATCCCAGCACCTAGCCCACACCACCAAAAGGGCTCCTTCTAAAGCGTAATAGTTTCTTGAATATTTTAGACTTGAATAACTTAATCTAGCATGCGAAAATAATGTACTAACATTTTAGTAGCTATAAAATTTAAAATGCTAATCCGTTCAGCAATAATATGAATAAAGAATAGTGAAATGTGTGGAAATTTAGAAAGTTCCGTTTTAATAAAGATGTTGTTGTTAGGTGCCGTTGAGCAGGTTCCAACTCCTAGTGATCCAGCACACAACAGGTGGGAGCACTGCATGGCACCTCTTCATCCTCAGCATGGTGTTTGAGCCCATCTGCGCAAACACTGTTACAGTCCATCTTGTTGAGAGCCTTCCTCTTTCCTGGCCCCCTTCTTTCCCTAGCATGAAGTCCTTTTTCAGGGATGTAAAAAAGAGACAGAATAATTAAAATTGTGTTTATATGAGGTGCTTTGGTAGCATAGTGGGTTACAAGTTCAGCTGCCAACTGCAATGTTAGCAGTTCTAACCCACCAGTTGCTGTGTGAAAGAAAGATGAGGCTGTCTTCTGTAAAGATTTACCCTCTTGCAAACTTTAGGAAGCAGTTCTACTTGGTCCGATAGCATCCATAAGAATTGGAGTCTACTTGATGGCAAGGGATGTTTCTTTTTATCCTGTATGTAAACATCTTACAATTTATTTTTTAAAGCAAAGTTCAGACAGATAATAGAATTATCTAGTTTTATTTTCTTCATATCTCTATATGGACTTGTAGATGACTTGTCAACTGTGGCTTCTGATATAAGAACAAAGAATTGTTTTACAGATAAACTGAGCTCCAGATGTATTTGAAAATAGTTGGCACATTATTTCTTCCTTGCAAATCTTTAGGATATTTCTTTGTGTGTGTGTGTTTGTGTGTGTTTTACAGTGAACATGTATTGTATATAGAAAACTGAGACTCTAATATTAGTAATATTGTTCAGAAAAAAAACCTAATGAAAATTTTTTTCATTAATGTGCTATGAGTGATTGTGTTTTTCTTTTTTAAAATCATTTTATTGGGGCTCAATCCCCTTGCAGAGGGGTCTCGGGGAGGAGATGTGACAGTCAGGGTGCGATGTAACAAGATGAGAAATACAACTTTCCTCTAGTTCCTAAATGTTTCCTCCCCGCTCCCACTACCAAAACTCGAATTCGACCTTGCAAGTCTGGCTAGACCAGAGGATGTACACTGGTACAGCTAGGAACTGAAAATATAGGGAATCCAGGGCGGATGAGCCCTACAGGACCAGTGGTGTGAGTGGCGAAACAGAGAGGGTAAAGGGAGAATGGGTAGGAAAGAGGGAACCGATTACAAGTAACTCTATGTGACCTCCTCCCTGGGGGACAGACAACCGAAAAGTGGGTGAAGGGAGACGTCGGACAGGGCAAGATATGACAAAATAACAATTTATAAACTATCAAAGGCTCATGAGGGAGGGGGGAGCGGGGAGGGAGGGGAAAAATGAGGACCTAATGTCGGGGTTTTAAGTGGAGAGAAAATGTTCTGAGAATGATGTACAAATGCGCTTTACACAATTGATGTGTGTATGGATTGCGATAACAGTTGTATGAGCCCCTAATAAAATGTTTAAAAAAAAAACAAAACTCATCGCAATCCATACATTGTGTCATGCACATTTGTACATTTGTTGCCTAGATTGCTTTTTTTTTTTAAATCATTTTATTGGGGGCTCATACAACTCATCATAATCCATACATACATACATCAGTTGTGGAAAGGCCATTTGTACATTCGGTAACCTCATCATTCTCAAAACATTTGCTCTCCAGGTAAGCCTGTGGCACCAGCTTCTCATTTTCCCCCTCCCTCCCAGCTCCCCCTCCCTCATGAGCCATTGATAATTTATAAATTATTATTTTGTCATATCTTAGATTGTCCGACCTCTCCCTTCCCCCTCTTTTCTATTGTCCATCCCCTAGGGAGGAGGTTATATGTAAATCATTGTATTCGGCTCCCCCTCTCTACCCCGCCCCCCCCTCCACCCTCCCAGTATTGCCACTCTCACCACTGGTCTTAAAGGAATCATCTGTCCTGGATTCCCTGTGTTTCTAGTTCCTATCTGTACCAGTGTACATCCTCTGGTCTTCCTTTGTAAGGTAGAATTGGGATCATGATGATGGGGAGGAAGCATTTAAGAACTAGAGGAAAGTTAAATGTTTCATCGTTGCTACATTGCACCCTGACTGGCTCATCTCCTCTCTGCGACCCTTCTGTAAGGGGATGTCCAGTTGCCTACAGATGGACTTTGGGTCTCCACTCCGCACTTCCCCTTATTCATAATGATAAGATTTTTTGTTCTTTGATGCCTGATACCTCATTTTAAAAAAAACTTTTTAAAAACTATTTTCAGCAATATCATACAAACTTAGGCCCCTCTGGCTTAATTTTATTAGTTGTAGTCATAAACTTTAGTTCTTTTTTTTTAGGTATGAAAATTTTGAGGATCCACTGGGAACTATTGACAAATTTCACTATGGTACTCACTATTCAAATTCTGCGGGGGTGATGCATTACCTTATTCGTGTAGAGCCATTCACCACCCTTCACATCCAGCTTCAGAGTGGAAGGTAAGTTTTGATACATAAGATATTTTCTTATGACTTCTGTATGTTATTGTTTGAAACAGTTTATCTTTATTTACTGCATAAGAGGGCTCGATCATTTTTACTATCCTCCAGTAGCATTGATCAGATTGTACCCCTAGATAAAAGTAGACTGAGCCAAACTAGTTTGAGAATTGGTCACTCAAACTGATTTGTACAAAGAACTTTTTAAGGATAATGCCTTTTTAGTGTTATCCCAGTGTACTTTTATGATTTTCCCTGGCTTCTGGGACCTACTAGAGAATTGGAGTTGGGTCTGATTTAGAGCTAGATTCAAGATATGTTATTAGAGATATTAAGACCTAGCCAGTGCCTATGTAGTCCTGCTAAAAATGTTTACTAAGAAGGAAGAATGAGGCACTCATATTATTAGTAGCTCAACCAGGTCTGTGATAACATTATGTTATTATATTGACTACCATTATTATAAGTAATCTATTTTCCACATTTTAAAAATCCTAAAGAAACAAAAACTTTCCTTGAATCCTCATTTCTCCTTTGTTACCCTCCAGTTGGCTTCATACTTCATACTCATAATTTGTTTACATGTTTTGTTATTCTTACTCTTTAATATTACCATTTGACCTTCCCAACCAAAAGAAGAACTTATGTCGGGATTAACTTCTGTAGTCTCGCTTTCCTTAAAGCTTCTATTTCCCAGAATTAGCTTGGGTCTTTTTTCACTCCCTGTTGTACAATAAGTCTTGGCATTAAAGAAAAAGATTAAAAGAAGCTTCCCTCCATAAGAAATATGAAGGAATTTTAAAGGTTTTATTTAATGTCTCACTGCTCATTCAACAGTCACTATTCTCTTTCGTTTTTTACGTGCAGGTTTGACTGTGCAGACAGGCAGTTCCACTCCATCCCTGCTACCTGGCAAGCTCTTCTGGATAATCCTTATGATGTGAAGGAGCTTATTCCTGAATTCTTCTACTTCCCAGAATTCTTGGAAAATAAAAATCGTAAGACATAGGGGATTAAGAATTTGATTTAGCACATCCCAGGGTTGTAGCCTGGAAAGTGTCTTTCAGAAATTCTTAGTGAGCTTCTACAGATTATTTAAGGCTCAGCCTTTGGACGACTCAGTGACATTGCTTAATCACTGCCGAGGTGTCAGTTTGACCTTCCAGGGAATTTTTATGAGGAGTTCAATTTTATGAGTTTAATTCCATTTTAGTTGGTAAGACATTTTATCAAGGTACCGCAAACGAAACTCACCACTGCTGAGTTGATTCTGACTCATAGTAACCCTGTAGGACAGAGTAGAACTGCCTTTGTGGGTTTCTGAGGATATAAATCTTTCTGGGAGTAGAAAGTCTTAGCTTTCTTATGAGTGGCGGGTTTCAAACTACTGACATTGTAATTAGCAGCACGACTCAGCCCAATATAGCACCAGGATTTCTACAGCATTTTACTAGGAAAGCAAAAATGGGCCATTTTCTCTTTCAGCCATTTAGCCATTTAGATTTAAAATCTTCAAGCAAGGATGAGTGTTTAGATAAAAAATCTATAAACTATGTGCCCATTGAACAAATATGGCCTACTACCAGATTTTTTACAAATAAAATGTTATAGGAACACAGCTAGCCCATTCACTTATCAGTTGTCTATGACTGCTTTCAGTGTACCAGCAAGTGTTGATTAGGGACTATGTGGTCACAGAGCAGTGAATAATCAGTCTCTGACCTTTTATAGAAAAGATTGTTGTATCTTAATTTAGAGCAATTAGAGACAAAGTAAAAAGAACGGTGGCGTGTACATCAGAATATAGGAAAATTTGCTTATTTAGGAAACACTTTCAAGTTTGCGTTTATACACAAATGAAGAAATTAACCAGGCTGACATTACTGGTGTTCTGTATGCAGACTCCATGTGTCAAAGGTCTGTTACTTCTTTTCCTCCAATAGCAGGTACTTTTATTGCTTGACCCTCTATTTGGTCAATGGAATTACTTGCTTACAGGGGAGAAGCATATTCATGACCGGATATCATGTGTGCCCTCTGGGCGGAGTTTGGAGGAAAGCCATCTGATTCTCAGGGTAAGGCAGTCAGAAAATCCAATATATTGCGTGACAAACGCTGTCCCTAGACACTTAGTCACCTATGGAAGTAGGTTCATCTAAAGCAGAATATCTGGGATGGGACAGGTGAGCAGATTAGTTTTGGTTGCAGACTTTTCAGAATTTACAATAAAGAATTCACCAAAGTCCACTAGAGCGCTTAATACTACTGTCTTGATGGTTTCCCTTTCTAACTTTATGTTGCCTCTTTGTTTGAAATTAGCTAGACGGGAGAGAGCCAGGTGTAACATAACACCCTCAAGAACAATGTTAATAAAATAAATTCAAAATTCTGTGAAGAAGGAAATTTTAGTATTTTCCATAATAAAAAACTCTGTAGTAGGATTATTTCCAGTAGCTTAAAAATATCATCAAGGCCAAGTTCTTCCTTTTCACGTTGCTCTTCCAAATATTTTGGCATTGCCCTTAGCTACTACTACTGCTTAAAAATGATTAGAACAGTTCTGCAAATCTTTCTCACTGAGAAAGAAAGCTAGTCAGTGAGGTGGCATGGCGCGGTGACTAGAACAGTGCGCTCTGTGAGGACTGGGCTTCTGTGCTTCTTTCTGCTGTACTTGGGGTCACTCAGAAATAACGTGAGGGCACCTAACGTCAGAAACCTCAGGGCATCATGTGACAGTACAACAGTGTTTGAAAAAGGGATTATTAATTCATGCTTGTGTTCTTCAGAGTGAGAAAACCTTTCTTTAATCTCCCCTTATTGTCCAGAGCTGGGTAAAAATACCAACACTTAAACCAGTCTCATGTAAAGGACAGAAAAAACTCTGATTGGTTTTGACTCATCAGAGTTAATCTTTGAGTCGTGTAGGATAGAAATGCACCCTCAGACAATCCAAAGCTCTGCTCGGAGATGAAGAGAGGGGCTAGCTGTTGGGTGGGTAACAAACAATATCTGCTACACAGTGGTTGGGTTCAGATAAAGCCAATGACCCTGTACATCCCACCATTCTGAGATCTTTAAGCCTTTCTCCAGTTGGGACACACTAATTTTATATATATATACACTAATTATATATATATATATATATATTCATTTCATTGGGGACTCTTGCAGCTCATAAAAATCCAGCATCAGTTGTATCAAACACATTTGTACATATTTGCCATCATCAGTTTCAAAACATTTTCTTAACTGCTTAAGTCTTTGGTATCAGCTCCTGTTTTCCCTCCCTAACTCATGGATCCCTGATAAATTGTAAATTATTTTCATATCTTTTTTTCCCTCAATTATTTAAGACCTTTATTAACAGGTGCTTGCAGTTTGTTCACGACTTTTTTTTTTAATCATGGTGTAAACTTTTATTACACTTTAAAAATGAGGTTCATAAAAATCTCTACTTTACCAGATATGAAACAATTAAAAAACCTTTAAAGGTGTATTGAGAGAAACCAGGTTTTTTAAAAAACACATTTGTCATTACCCAAAAGAGATATCTTTAGGTAAAAGTAATATGTGGAATAGAAAGGGGGAACCGACTACAAGAATCTACGTATAGCCTCCTCCCTGGCGAATGGGCAGCAGAAAAGGGCGGGGGAGTCGTCAGACAGTGTAACATATGACAAAATAATAATAATTTGTGAATTATGAAGGGTTCATGAGGGAGGGGAGAGGGAGGAAGGAGGGGGGAAATGATCAGCCGATATTAAGGGCTCAGGTGGAAGGCAAGTGTTTTGAGATTGATGATGGCAGCAAATGTACATATGTGCTTGACACAATGGATGTATGTATGGATCGTGATGGGATTTGTACGAGCCCCCAATAAAATGATTTAACAAAACCTTAAAAACCAACAAACAAAAAAAAACCCCATGCTTCTTAGATAATGCAGATAGTTCTAGTAATCTGGCCAATGGGCAAAAAGCAAGTACTTAGGGTCTTCAGCTCCAATCTTTTGTTCATTTATTTATTTATTTTTATAGATATCAAGTTTATTAGTGGTTACTAGGGTCAGTATACAGAAAGTGGGGGGTGGAGGGTAGGGGTGATGGAAGAACTACAAGGATCATGGAATGTTACTTACAAACAGATTCTTGTAATTGCTGTCAATATGGCTTAAACCTGTAAATAACTGAACAGGCAGACGTTGTGAGATAGATATACAAGGGGGCTTCAAAAAGTTTGTGGGAAACTTCCATTATTAGATTTGTTTAGTCATCACTGGGGCTTTTTCGTGCTGCTGGTTTCTTTGCTGGTCTGCTCTTCCACCTGCATGACCAGGGCCAGGGCTTTCTTGAAAGCTTGCAGGTAATTGGGAAGCATGGCTACGGTGGGTTCTGTTGTTCTCAATTTTCTCCAGGCCGTAGTGTGGCTGCTTGGCCATCTCAGGAGAGCTTAAGTCAGGTTGGCCCTTGCTTTGTGCTGAAGACGTTCAAAGAGTCTGGGGAGGAGGCACCGCTGGGCGCGCCGGCTACACAGCACTCAGGTTGCTGGTGCTTCTCTCTGTCCATTTCTTATTGCTGGAATTTCATACTCATTTCTTCTTGTTGGATAAGTAAACCTGATGATGGTAAAGATGATAAGTAGGCCTTTACTCAGCCCTGCCCTGCTCAGTTTCAGAGCAGATGATTCTTAGCTGGTGGACCAGCTGCTTTTGTCTCTCTGCCACCTTGTGGTGTAGGGTTATCTGTCTGCGTCCATCACAGAAGTGGCAGCGGTTTCCTTATTCTCTTCATTGCCATCCTCTCTAGGCTGTCGTTGGTGAGGAGGGCCCCTGCAAAATCTTGGTCTATAACCTCGGTACATACTCTGTCTCACTGGTCTCCTTTGTTCGCCTGCACCTGAGTTGTCAGCACCCTCCATCACTTCTTATTGCACAGGAAGATTGGAATACTGTGGTCAATGCCCATAGGGTCTCCGCATGTAGTATGGTGGGAACCTTAGCCTGCAGTAGGGCCAGTGCTGTTGGGACTGGCCTTTGGGTGCACTCTCCGATCTCTCGTTCTTTTCCCCACTCTCACTATTCTGGTAACTCCACTTGTAATTGCATGGAGGACCCCTACGATGTAGGTAACCCTGTAATGGTTACAGTCTGCTGCATATTTACTGCCTTGCACTGGAACACCACCAGGGCCTATAACATTTGCTGCCTCCACACCCTTTTCTTCTTAAATAACATCATACTCCACAATCTCGCCATCTCCTGCACTGCGAAGGTACTTCCTGGGGTTATTTGTCTTTATGGAAGCCTGCTGTACAAGCACATCTTCCTTGGTGTCATTCCTGTTGATCAAACCTTAACGATATCTGTTTCTTACATTGGACCATTTTACTCTTCCCAAGACCTTCCTTGCAATGACCTTCTTGTCCCAGCCTTCACTCATGTTTCTGTTGTTCGGTGAGGGGTTTGGGATAGAGGGTAATCAGTCGATATTGTAGACAGTTCCTGTTTCTCCCCTTCTCCACCCACCTTCCCCCTACCTTCATGGTATGGCTACTCCCATTACTGTTATTGAGGGGTTTATTCGCCCTGGATTCCGTGTATCAAGAGGTCTAATCTGCACCAGTGTACATGTCCTGGTCCAGCCAGATTTGTAAGTTATAACTGGGAACATGATGGTGGGGTGGAGGAGAGTGAGGGAGGAGCATTAAAGAACTAGAGGAATATTATATGTTCTGTTGGTGTTATACTGCACACTTGCTGTCTCGTTCTTTCTTTGTGACCCTTCTGTGATGGAATAGCCAATTGTCTACAGATAGGTTTTGAGTCTTCTGATGCCTGATACCTGATCCCATCAGCAACTCATGATCACACAGGCTGGTGTGCTTCTTCCATGTGGGCTTTGTTGCTTCTCAGCTAGATGGCCGCTTGTTTACCTTCAAGCCTTTAAGACCCCAGGTGCGTTATCTTTTAATAGTTGGGTACCATCAGCTTTCTTCACCACATTTGCTTATGTACCCATTTTTAAAAAAAATAATTTTATTGGGGGCTTGTAAACTCATCACAATCCATCCATCCATCCATCCATTGTGCCAAGCACTTTTGTACATTTGTTTCCCTCATCGTTCTCAAAGCTTTTGCTTTCTACTTCAGCCCTTATTATCAGCTCCTTATTTTTCTCCTCCCTCCCTGCTCTCTCCCTCCCCCTCCCCCATGAACCCTTGATAATTTGTAAATTATTATTTTGTCATATCTTACACCATCCGACGTCATCCTTCACCCACTTCTCCGCTGTCCGTTCCCTAGGGAGGAGGTTATATGTAGATTCTTGTCATCTGTTCCCCTTTCTCCCTCACCTTCCCTTCACCCTCCCAGTATCACCACGCTCACCACTGGTCCTGAGGGGTTCATCTGTCCTGAATTCCCTGTTTCCAGTTCCTATGTGTACCAGTGTACATCTTCTGGTCCAGCCGGATTTGTAAGGTAGAATTGGGATCATGACAGTGGAGGGAGGAAGCATTCAAGAATTAGAGGAAAATTGTATGTTTCATCATTGCTACACAACCCTCTGACTGGCTTGTCTCCTTCCCGCGGGCAAGAAGAAAGTACAAAGAAATAGAGGAAAGAACTAGGAGGCAAAGGGTATTTATAGAGATCTAAATATAGGCATATACAGATGTAAATATATTTATATGCACCCGGTTTTACTTCAGCGATTGTGTCGGGAAGGTGAGCATCACAAGAATGTTAGGTTATTAAAACAAAATGGTCTTGCATTGAGGGAATGCTTGAGACCCAATGCCTGTCTGCTCCTTTAATATTTAACATTTAAATATATGTATATAAACCTATATCCTTATTGTTGTATATTTATATATTTACATGTGTGCATGCTTATATTTATACCTCTGTAAATATCTTGCCTCCTAGTTCTTTCCTCTATTTCTTTGTACTTTCCTCCTGTGCCACTATCATGTTCAATCTTCATTCGACTCTCAGTACTTTCTCTGGCTACACTGTGCTTGATCAAACCACATCAGGCATTCTATCCTTCCTTGCCATCAATTTTTTTTTTAAATCATTTTATTGGGGGCTCGTACATTTCACAATGCATACATACATCCATTGTGTCGAACACATTTGTACATTTGTTGCCATCATCATTCTCAAAACATTTGCTTTCTATTTGAGCCCTTGGTATCAGCTCTTTTTTAAAAAAAAATATTTTATTGAGGGCTCGTACATTTCTTATCACAGCCCATACATACATCCACTGAGTCAAGCACCTATGTACACCCGTTGCCCTCATCAATCTCAAAACATTTGCTCTCCACTTTAGCCCTCAATATAGTTTGCTCATTTTCCCCCTCCCTCCTGAACCCTTCATAATTCATAAATTATTATAGATTTGTCATAAGTTACCCTGTCCGACGTCTCCCTCCGCCCTCTTCTCTGCTGTCCATTCCCCAGGGAGGAGGCTATACTTAGATTCTTGTAATTGGTTCCCCCCTTCTATCCCACATTCCCTTCACCCTCCAGGCCTCACCCCTCTCACCGCTGGTCCTGAAGAAGTTATCTATCCTGGGTTCCCTGTGTTTCAAGTTGCTATCTGTACCGATGTGCATCCTCTGGTCTAGCCAGATTTGCAAGGCACAATTGGGATCATGATATTGGGGGGAGGAAGCATTAAAGAACTAGAGGAAAGTTCTATGTTTCATCGTTGCTACCCTGCACCCTGATTAGCTCATCTCCTCCCCAAAACCCCTCCGCAGAGGAGTGTTCTGTTGCCACCCGATGGACTCAGTCTCCACTCTGCACTCACCCACCTTTACAATGACATGATTTCTTGTTCCTTGATGCCTGACACCCGATCCCTTCGACTGCTCATGGTCTTTGCCATCAATTTTAGATCTTTTCCCTTTCCCCTGTGTTTGTTGGCTTCCCCCGCCCTTTCTCCCACCTCTTCATCTCCCATGTCTCTTCGGGATTGGTTATCCTGCTGATCTTACATGGAAAGACATGAAAAAAAGGAAGATAAAAAAGCCTATAAATAGTTCAGGTCTGTCTGCTGATCCTTCTCATTGTTTTCCAATTGGATTTGGTGAAGTGCTACGTCCAATGATTTCAAAGTCTATTTCCGGTTTCCTCGGGTACTTCTTTGCTGTGTTCCCCTTGCTGCTCTGTTGTGCTCCCTTCTTGTTTTGCTCCCAGGTGCGTGTGTGTCTGTGTGTCTGTCTCTCTCTCTCAGACCGGGCATAATTCCCACACTGTGTCTCCAGTGCTGTTCTCCGTAGCACCGTGGGGTCAGTGAGGAGGCATCACACACATTGATGTTTTAAGGCACCTTTTTTGAAAAGTTTCGTGTTGACACTGTTTTGCCTACCGTATGTACAAGAGCATCTCATCACTAAAAGTTTGTCCATTCATTTGGTGTAGGGGCCTCAGAACTAATTTTTTGCTAGATATCGACCTTCCTAAAATGGCATCTGTTTTCTTTATGATAAAGTAAATTTCAAGAGTTTTGTTTAAACAGAAAACTTGTCAAATGTTGAGTTTTAACTGCATATGAGCAATAGTATTTGTTAGTACCTACTTATAGTAGTGACATATAAACTTAATTCTTCCAAATACAGCTCTTCATGTTAAACAAATTTAAGCTGTAAAGTCACACTGAAAGCATCTAAGGAAATGTATTTCTTCAGGTAACCATTAGTTGGATTGTGGTTTTTACTTTTAAAAAAATGAATGCAGTAAAATGCATGTAACAAAACTTTTGTTGTTTTTACACATACAACTTAGTGGTATTAATTGCATTAATTAATCTACCAACAATTTCCAAGTTAATTTCGGCACTCATTAAAAAAACTCAGTACTGCTTAAGCAGTTAACTCATTTTCCCCTCCCACTTATTCATTGAAACCAAAGTTGAACTTACCGCCATCAAGTAGATTCCAACTCACAGGGACTGTACAGAGCAGGGTAGAACCGCCGCCGTGGGTTTTGTAGACTGTAACTCTTAGAGGAGTAGAAAGCCTTGTCATTCTGCCCCCCCTTAATCCTCACACAAACTCACTGCTATTAAGTCAGTGCCGACTGATAACGACCCCCAGTGGGTTTCAGGGAATAACTGTTTGCAGGAGGAGACAGCCCTATTTCCTCTGAAGAACTGTCTCTCAGGTGCAGCCCAATGTGTAGCCACAACACCACCAGGGCTCCTTGTCCACCTCCTCCCAGTGACCACTACTTAGCTTATAGTCTAGATATTCCATGTAAGTGAGACCATACCATGTTTTTCCTTCAGTGCTTTGACTTATTTGGCTCGTGGAGCATACTGTTTTCAAGAACCGTTCATGTTGTAACCTGTAGCATACTGTTTTCAAGGGCCGTTCATGTTGTAACCGGTATCAAAACTGTATTTCTTTCTGTTGCAGAGTAATTCTGTTATGTGGGGAGACAACTCTGTCCTTGGACACTTGGGTTGTTTCTGCCTTTCTATGTATCTATTTTTTAGTGTATAAAAAATTTTGTTTCTTGTTTTTGATTTTAAGATGAGGGTCATAGTTAGAGTGTCTTCATTTTCCTCCACAAAGAATTAATTAGTAATCTGACATGCCTTGTAAGTAAACTGATTTAAATATTTTCTTTTCATCCTAAATTTTGTAATCAATTGATAGAATTCTTATGTGTCAGATTATACATATTTCCTCTGTGGGATAAATGAGAACAAAAGAGAATTCTCTTCTTGCCTCACTCTTAAGAAAAAAAGCCTCTGTTTAGTTTTATTTATGTTTGACTTCTTTATATGTAAAATTGTTTTTTACATTTATCTTTTGCATGTCTTAGAGTTTAACTTGGGCTGTCTGCAAGCTTCTAGAGAAGTAGTGAATGATGTCATTCTCCCCAAGTGGGCTAAGTCAGCTGAGGATTTTATCTATAAACATCGGCGAGCTCTGGTAAGTTTTCATCTTTACTTATTAGATTACGAGGATTGTCATACGTTTCTTAGAGCGTGGGGTAAAGTGTTTATTATGCAATACTTCAAATACATCAAAATGTACAGAAATTAATGCACAGGTACTTTTGCTCCATTGCCCAGATTTAATAGATGTTAACATTGTATCAGGCTTGCTTCAGATATATCTTTTCTTAAAAATGTTAATGGCAAAAAGCTCCTTATTCGAGGTAAATGCAGGCTTGAAGCTACTGTGTCAGCCCAGCTTGTTAACAGTCTTCCTCTTTTTCACTGGCCTTCTGCTTTATGAAGTGAGGTTCTATTCCAGGGACTGGTCTCTCTCTCTCTCTTTTGTTTTTAAACATTTTATTAGGGGCTCATACAACTGTTATCGCAATCCATACACACATCAATTGTGTAAAGCGCATTTGTACATCCATCATTCTCAAAACATTTTCTCTCCGCTTAAAACCCCGACATTAGGTCCTCATTTTTCCCCTCCCTCCCCGCTCCCCCCTCCCTCATGAGCCCTTGATAGCTTATAAATTGTTATTTTGTCATATCTTGCCCTGTCCGACGTCTCCCTTCACCCACTTTTCGGTTGTCTGTCCCCCAGGGAGGAGGTCACATATAGTTCCTTGTAATCGGTTCCCTCTTTCCTACCCATTCTCCCTTTACCCTCCCTGTTTCGCCACTCACACCACTGGTCCTATAGGGCTCATCCGTCCTGGATTCCCTGTATTTTCAGTTTCTATCTGTACCGGGACTGGTCTCTCTTGATAAGATGCCCAAAGTAGATGAGACCATCTTCTCATATCACTGCCTTCACTTCTAAGGAACAATCCTGGTTGTAACTGCTTCCAAGAAAGATTTGTTTGGCCTTCTGGCAGTTCATGGTACTTTCATTATCCTTTGTTAATTTAAATGCATCAATTCTTCTCTCATCTTCCTTATTCAGTGTTCAACTTTCACATGAATATGAGGTGATTGAAAATACCATGGCTTTACAGAGAAAACAACAACAACAACAATAATACCATGGCTTAGGTCAGGTGCACCTTAGTCTTCAAAGTGACATTCTTGCTTTTCAGCACTTTAACGGGTTCTTGTGCACCAGATTTACCCAACGCAGAATATCACGTGATTTCTTGGCTGAGCAGCAATCCAAGCAAAATGAAATCCTTGACAACTTCTGTCTTTTCTCCATTTATCATGATGCTTTCTATTGGTCTCGTTGTGAGTTGCAATCCATACCGAAGACTCAGTCTGATCTTATCAGCAAGTGCTTCAAGTGCTCTGTGATTTCTGCTAGCAAGGGTGTGTCAGTTGCGTATTGTAAGTTGTCAGTAAGCCTTTCTCCAATCCGAATGCTGAGTTCTTCATATAGTCCAGCTTCTCAGACTATTTACTTAGCATAGAGAGTGAATCAAAGTGGTGAAAGGATACAACACTGATGCATACCTTTCCCTGATGTTAGAGCCACACAGTGTTCCCTTGTTCTCTTGAAAGGACTGCTTCTTGATTCATGCACAAGGTTCATCAGACTCTTTCATGCTTTCTTAAGGCTTAGGTTCAGGACTGTCAAAGTATATCACTTCAACTATTCTTTTAATGGTTAAGCAGTCACAAAAATCCAACTAAGCCCATTGCATAACTCATAGTGATCTTATAGGACAGAATAGATCTACTCCATAGGGTTCCCAAAGCATTAAATCTTTATGGAGGCAGCCAGCCTCCTATTTCTCCCGAGGAACAGCAAGTTCAAGCCACTAGTCTTTTGGTTAGCAGCTTGGACCACTGCACCACCACTGGACTGACCACCGGGGCTCCGAGAAGCCGTCATAGGATCAGTTCAAATTTGTGGAGATGGGAAGAAATCTCTCAATGTGGTGACTGAAAGTAATCTGTAGTCTTTAATCCACCACGCAGTCTACCCACTGTTCACAGATTATTTCATTAATTCTACATGCAGAATAATCTCACTTCCTCTCAAGAGTCCCCAAAGGCTTATCCCATTATGGCACCAATCAGTGAACTTGTCCTGTAAGCGGCCAGACAGTAAAGGTGTTTGATTTTGTGAGCCGTAAGATTTGTGTGGCAGTTACTCAGTCATGCCCTTGTAGTGTGAAAGCAAGTAGGTTGTGTGTGCATTGTGCTATTACACAGATCTGTGAGCCAGCCGGACGAGGTCCAGAGGCAGTAGTTTGCTGCCCTGACACTGCGACTCTCATTATCCAAATCAAGCCCAGGTGTGGATGAGGCGCCGCACTGTAGCTTCTCTTGGGTGTCTGAAAACCGAAGAGACAAGAGAATCACAATAGATACTTCTATTGTAATAAACAAAACAAAACAAAAAACCCCACGATTCCATAGAGTTTCAGAGGCTGTCAATCTTTTGGAAGCAGACTGCCGCATATTTCTCTCACAGAGTGGCTGGTAGGTTTGGACCCTGTACTTTTCAGGTAGCCACCCATTCCCACTCTTGAGTAGTTTGCAATGATTCTAGGTCCTCAGCTTTGTTCCTGACTATACCAAACGGAGTGGTTCATTTTTAAAAACTCATCTTAATCCCTTTTGAAAATGGGTGGTGACCATGCTTGACCTCTTTTCATTTCACAGAAGGAAGGAGAATCCCACTCATCAGATAAAGCTGATTTATAAGAAGCTGAGGTTAGACAGGCTGCTACCGTCCAGATTTTTTTTTTCTTTTTCTTTTTTTGGCATTTATATATTTTATTTTATTTTATTTATTTTTAAGAAAATCATTTTATTAGGGGCTCACACAACTCTGATCACAATCCATACATACATCAATTGTATCAAACATACTGTTCAGATTTTTTTTAAACCAGTTCTGACAGCAACCATTTTTCTCACAGCACTCTATGCTTCTTTTTTAGGTTTGATTTCATTGCAATAGCTACAGAGAACTCACAGAAAATACTCATGATTATGGGGTTTATTAGGGAAGTTGACAGGCTATTATTCAGGATCAGAAATTCTCAGGAAACAGTTCTTCTCATCGGGACACTCTCTTCTCAGTCATGCCTGCTGGCCGCCTCTTTCTGGTCCTTGGTTTCCCAGCCATATGGTTCCTGCCCTGCTTGAGCAATATTACAGTGCTGCCAATAAATTCCCACATGACATGGTACTCCATGCATACTCCAGCGCATAGACCCTCAGCTGTAGCTTTGAGAGTCAAACCTAGGTCTCCAATTAAGTACTTTACTCCCTAAGTGGTCTCCTACCTGAATATTTGCTCTGTGTGCTAAGAAGGCCACCACTCCTGTTGCTGCCTCTCCTCTGCCACTCCTTTATCACTTCTCTGAAGTCACTGCTTTCTGTCCCTGAATCAAGGAAGTTCAATTTGCAGGTATTTTAGGGTCCAAAGGATATGCTCCACTCATGGCTCCTGTTTCTTGATGGTATTGAGAACCCCCTTCTGCTGCTGAGATACCCTTTGATGCACAGCAAGGTGGCAGAATTGATCAATCCTCACTTTAGAGTTTTAAGATTTTATAATCATAGGTAACTCAATTAACAGTCACAACTGAATTGCATAAGCTATCATTTTCCTCACCTCTTACTCAGATTTATTAGAAAAAAACTCTGTTAGGTGTGTTACAAAGACTGAGGGTAAAAATCATGTCAAGCAATTCACTGCACCACATCCATCCACATTTTATCATAGGCAGCTAAAAGGAGCCAATTGGCACTTAGAAAAAAATGTTTTTAATTACCCAGGAAATTTTCACCAGAACCACAAGTTTGAAGTCATCTTTTGTATCTCTATGTAACTAAATCACGAGTCCCCTTCTTCCTATTTCTAGTCGCACTTTCCTCACAAGACATATCTTTCAAGCCATCACATCATAAGGGCTCATGCCAACTACACAGTCTGTCTTTTGAGGGCTGTGGGGGACAATTTGCTGCCACCTTTAATCCTCCCTCATGTGGTTTCATTATTTCCTTGAATTGAATTTCTACATAGCTGTTTCAATGGAAATTTCATCACAATAATATCATGAATTTTTTATTGCTAGTGGGCTATTAGAATATATTTTTAGGAAATACATTTGTAGTTAGGATATCAACAATACATTAGATATGCATAGGCAATACTGTGGTAGGTATTGGATAAATGTGTAACATGATTTTAAAAGATGTATTGCAGCCATTAAGTTTTATGTAAGAAAATGTTTCACTTGTTCTTTCTTTTTAGAAGAATCCATATTTACGTTTTAGGTGGAAGGCATCTCTATATTAATTACTTAATTTATCATATTTTTAGGAGTCTGAGCATGTCTCTGCTCACCTTCATGAATGGATAGATTTGATCTTTGGCTACAAGCAGAGGGGACCAGCCGCAGTGGAAGCACTCAACGTATTCTACTACTGTAGCTATGAAGGTATAAGCTTATGTAGTGTTTTCTTGTGTTACATTGTTAGAAACTTATACCTATAGTTTAATTGGCATTTACATATAGTATTTTAGGGCTATTCAATGTGAGAAACACTACAAAAAGAAATCAGTAATCCTTTTGTGTTTGAAAGATTAAGATGCAGCTTCTGCCCACCACCCTTCTTTTTTGGGTAATGTAGTTTATGTTTACATGTGCAGACCTAATTACAGTTAACCAGTGACACATAGATTGTTTTACTGCTTTTGGCTTTTATATGTCCTATCCAGTCAGACCCAACATTAAATGTTTAGTTTTAAATTGTCTTTAGAATTTCAAATAACAAATTTCTAGGGTTTAGTTCAGAGTCAAGAAAATGTTCTCAGGACATTGAAAGGTATAAAAAGCCACCCCCCCCCCAAAAAAAAAAATAGAAACCCTTTTTCCTTTTCTAAACCTTAGGCAGAACCAAGAGTTCTAAAGATTATAAATAGTGTGAAGTTATGTAAAATTTGACTGAGCCCTTGCGACTTTTGTTAAGTTGACAAGCATATGAGAGGGATTCAAAAGTTCAAATATCTTTTAATTCTAGTTTTCTACAAACTTCTCGAAGCCCCCTTGTGTATTTGCATTCATTCTGGTAATAATTTCATACCAGCTACCATCAAGTGGATTCTGATTCATGCAGATCAGACCACAGCTGGGAATCTTTCAGAAGCAGATTGACCAACCTTTCCTCAGAGGAGCCTCTCTCTGGGCCTCCAGCCATTCACTTAGCAGTAGAGCATTTTAAGGATTTGTGCCGCTCAAGAACTCTAAAAGAGTGTTGCCCACTTTGTTGTTGTCTCATTATCAGTTATGGATCAGACCATTGTGATCTATAAGGTTTCATCGACTGACTTCAGAAATAATTCTCCAGGCTTTTCCTCCTCTTCTTACTCTGGGTGCTCTGCTAAAACCAGTTCAGTGTCATAGCAACATGAATTCATCGCTGACAGCCTGCTGTTGCAAGAATGTTACCACTAATCCATTAACACCTTAGTGTTTAGAAGCATGGGCTTCTATTCCAGATTAGCCAGGCACTAGCCATGTGTCACTAGCCATGTGTCATATTAACCAGAATATCTCCTTCCCAGATGTTTGTTAGGTAAGCTGGAATTTAGAGTAGTTTTCTCGTGTGTTCATTATTCCTATGTTAGTTTGATTCTTGTGAAGGTATACTCCGACTATGATTGCAAACCAAATCTTTGTCTTCCAGTCTGTTTCCCACTCATCATGAAAAGTATCACACTGACTAAAACTTTTTGGTGAAATGATGTCCCCCTTCCCTCAAATAAAAAGAAATCACACTCACTCATGAGGTGCTCAACTTATAATTCTTCTCTCTTGAACTTGTAATTCTTCTTTCTTAATGGTCCTGGGTTGCTATACTACTCCTCTTTTGGAGATGGCTCGTTTTATACCCGGTGGAATGGCAAAACCGATCAGTACCATAAGAGATCTTTTCACCTTATTTACATATTTCCACCTAGACATTTGTTGCGAGTTACACGTACTTGAGTCGGTAGCCATACCATGTAATGCAACTCTGCCACAGTGATCACATCCCGGTCCTTCATTCCAAAGGAGAAGCAGGTGGCTTAACACAGTAGCTGGTACCCCTGTCATTGTTGAATTTCAGCACCATTGTTTTCTTGAAAGGGGATTCTCAGTCAATCCCAGGTGTTCTCTCTGTGCTTTCGTTTCTCCAGTACATGACCTTGTGGAGATTAACTCAACTCACTGCCATCGAGTCAGTGCTGACTCATAACGACCCTGTAGAAAGCCCTGTCTTTCTCCCCAAGGGTGGCTGTTGGTTTTGCTCATGGCTAGCAGCCCAACACAACCAGAGCTCCTCCTTGTGGAGAGTAGATGAGTTAATATTCATAAAGCCTTAACAGTGTCTGGTAGAGAGCATACAAATGTAGGTGTTATTTTTGCTACATGTGTCTATGAATATCATAATCTCATGTTTAAATAATTCATGGACTACTACAGGTAAGCAATCCTAATTCAGCCATCTGAGTGGCATAGGAAGGAACTCATCTTCAGGAGGCTACTGTATGTAACTATGACTCAGAGGTCAAGGAAAGGATATCCTGAAAGTGTCACGCTGACTAATGAGGTGAAATGTTGCCCCCGCCTATCCTAGAAGAGATCGCATTCATGCATATCAATCCTGTCCTGAACTGTGCACTTCAGTGTGGTGATGCACGCTGTCTGTTAGCGCTATTCTGATAGCCTGCTAGCCTCAGGGAACACAGATAACTGTATCTCCCCTCTACTCCCTCCATCAACTCAGGGCTTTCTTCACTGAGGAGGGAGTTGAGGCTCAAACCTGGGCCAATCATTCTGATACATGTTAAATGCTTCAAGTTTTAGAACTCCCAGAGGCCCATTCATACTTTAAGATGCTCCCTTGTCTTCCACTGTGCTTTTGGTGTCTTTGTGTTCTTCTGCAGCACCATTTTGTTTTCCTCATCTTAGACCTAGATGCTTTAAGGCCATATTTCTTTGTTTTTTTTAAACATCAGGTCTCTCCTTATTTAATCAAATCTTGCTCTTCATAAGTCTTAATAAAAACAAAGGCATGAGTTAATTATAACCAATTAGTCCACCCCAGAGTAATTTATTTTCATTTTCTGAGTCACAAGAGATTTACTTAGAAACTGTTTTTTTTTTCTTTTCTTAAATCATTTTATTGGGG